TAAGAGGGGTAGTTTATTCTCGCAGTTTCTGAAAATCCTTGCTGACCGAGCATTTCTGATTGAAATTTTCTCTTCAAATTGCATATCTGAATATCTTATATAGATGCCACCAGTGGAATTATCTCGATTCACTCCTTAAGAGGGATAGTTTATTCTCGCAGTTTTTAAAAATCCTTTCTGATTCGAATTTTCTCTTCAAATTGCATATTTGAATATCTTACCCAGTAGAATTATCTCGATTCACTCCTTAAGAGGGGTAGTTGGTTGGTGGCCAGGTAGCCGTGCGGACAGAGTGTCTATATTCTAATTCGCATTCGCTTGCCGGTCGTGGGTTCGATCCCCGTCGACTGCAGAAATTTTTCTGATGGCCCAAGAAAGTGTTTGGGATCACACGTTAAAAGGTAAGGCCCCCGTCATTCCTTGCTCGCACAAGACTTTCGAAGACTTTTGAGGGTTGCTCGTGAGGGGGCAACCGAATGACGGATAGAACAAATTTTAGAACAAAAAATTTTTTAGTTTATTCTCGCAGTGTTTAAAAATCCTTGCTGACCGAGCATTTCTGCTTCGAATTTTCTCTTCAAATTGCATATTTGAATATCTTATATAGATAATATATAGATGCCACCAGTGGAATTATCTCGATCCACTCCTTAGGAGGGGTAGTTTATTCTCGCAGTTTTTAAAAATCCTTGCTGACCGAGCATTTCTGATTCGAATGTTCTCTTCAAATTGCATATTTGAATATCTTATATAGATATATAGATGCCACCAGTGAAATTATCTCGATCCACTCCTTAAGAGGGGTAGTTTATTCTCGCAGTTTTTAAAAATCCTTGCTGACCGAGCATTTCTGATTAAAATATTCTCTTCAAATTGCATATTTGAATGCCTTATATAGATATATAGATGCCACCAGTGGAATTATCTCGATTCACTCATTAAGAGGGGTAGTTTATACTCGCAGTTTTTAAAAATCCTTGCTGAACGAGCATTTCTGATTCGAATTTTGTCTTCAAATTGCATATTTGAATATCTTATATAGATATATATATATATATATATATATATATATATATAGAGGAGAGGATTAGACGACTGTCTAAGTTAAGGATGAAACTGTCGATTTCCTTCGGGTATGCAGTCAAAGAAAAAAACAAAGTGTACTCTTGTTTCTGTTCAAGCTTTCGAGTCTTTATTGGCTCTTCATCAGGAACTGGAAAATGAGGTTTTGTTGAAGCTGGCTTCCATTAAGTGGGGAATAATACATGTGTAAAAGAACATTCACAACATGAAAACATCAATATTTTTGAAAGATGATAAAAATTATTACATTATATTTGATTTTAGTCGAGAAAACTTGCAAAGCATTTTTGCTGCGGTAAATATTACAACATATTACACTGTTCTGCTTCTGTTTGTCAGCCATGTTGTAATATTTACCGCAGCAAAAATGCTTTGCAAGTTTTCTCGACTAAAATCAAATATAATGTAATAATTTTTATCAACTTTCAAAAATATTGATGTTTTCATGTTGTGAATGTTCTTTTACACATGTATTATTCCCCACTTAATGGAAGCCAGCTTCAACAAAACCTCATTTTCCAGTTCCTGATGAAGAGCCAATAAAGACTCGAAAGCTTGAACAGAAACAAGAGTACACTTTGTTTTTTTCTTTGACTGCATACCCGAAGGAAATCGACAGTTTCATCCTATATATATATAGTATAGATGCCACCAGTGAAATTATCTCGATTCACTCCTTAAGAGGGGTAGTTTAGTCTCGCAGTTTTTAAAAATCCTTGCTGACCGAGCATTTCTGATTCGAATTTTCTCTTCAAATTGCATATTTGAATATCTTATATAGATATATAGATGCCACCAGTGGAATTATCTCGATTCACTCCTTAAGAGGGGTAGTTTATACTCGCAGTTTTTAAAAATCCTTGCTGAACGAGCATTTCTGATTCGAATTTTGTCTTCAAATTGCATATTTGAATATCTTATATATATATATAGATGCCACCAGTGAAATTATCTCGATTCACTCCTTAAGAGGGGTAGTTTAGTCTCGCAGTTTTTAAAAATCCTTGCTGACCGAGCATTTCTGATTCGAATTTTCTCTTCAAATTGCATATTTGAATATCTTATATAGATATATAGATGCCACCAGTGGAATTATCTCGATTCACTCCTTAAGAGGGGTAGTTTATTCTCGCAGTTTTTAAAAATCCTTGTTGACCGAGCATTTCTGATTCGAATTTTCTCTCCAAATTGCATATTTTAATATCTTATATAGATATATAGATGCCACCAGTGGAATTATCTCGATCCACTCCTTAAGAGGGGTAGCTTATTCTCGGAGTTTTTGAAAATCCTTGCTGACCGAGCATTTCTGATTCGAATTTTCTCTTCAAATTGCATTATTGAATATCTTATATAGATATATAGATGCCACCAGTGGAATTATCTCGATTCAGTCCTTAAGAGGGGTAGTTTATCCTCGCAGTTTTTAAAAATCCTTGCTGACCGAGCATTTCTGATTCGAATTTTCTCTTCAAATTGCATATTTGAATATCTTATATAGATTTATAGATGCCACCAGTGGAATTATCTCGATTCACTCCTTAAGAGGGGTAGTTTATTCTCGCAGTTTTTAAAAATCCTTGCTGACCGAGCATTTCTGATTCGAATTTTCTCTCCAAATTGCATATTTTAATATCTTATATAGATATATAGATGCCACCAGTGGAATTATCTCGATCCACTCCTTAAGAGGGGTAGCTTATTCTCGCAGTTTTTGAAAATCCTTGCTGACCGAGCATTTCTGATTCGAATTTTCTCTTCAAATTGCATATTTGAATATCTTATATAGATATATATATTGATGCCACCAGTGGAATTATCTCGATTCAATCCTTAAGAGGGGTAGTATATTCTCGCTATTTTTCAAAAATCCTTGCTGACCGAGCATTTCTGGTTCGTATCTTTTCATCAAATTACTTATTTGGATATATCATATAGATTTATAGATGCCACCAGTGGAATTATTTCGATCCACCCCTTCAGAGGGGTAGTTTATTCTTGCTGTTTTTCGAAAATCCTTCCTCACCGAGCATTTCTGGTTCGTATTTTTCCATTTATCTGTAATTTTAATTGGTAATGTAATATAATGTAATGTAAAGTTTTAGTTTGAAATTCCTTCAATATTTGAACAAATTTAAAAATATCGAGATGAGGTGCATTAAAACTTTTAGTTAAATCAGAATGAAAGGATTCACAGCAATTTGTTGTTCAAAATAATTTCTCAATATACGTCAATATATCTTGCGTCATTCGTCAACAGTTGATCAAAATCAAAGGCAAAACAGTCTTCCACTGTTTCTGCATGGCTCTAAAAATGTCAAGTCAAGTGTCCAATGGAAAATACTTTCAACAAGTGAATCATTGTTTTTGTATTCGGACATCAACCCTAAACTTTGGATTTTTCTTATCCAAGCTTGACTCAGATGAAATCTGCATCCTATAATTTTTGTTTCTGGCCACATGAATCTTATGGATGAATGAATAGAGTTTTCAAAATCCGATGCAACTTCAGCAGGTTCGAATTGATACCCTCTAGTTTTACGCATTCTTGGCTTACGATTTCGAAACATTTGTTAGGGTAGGAGGTGTTCCGATGATGAGCAGGGACAGTATGTCATTGAAAATGGTATATTCTCAGATAAAATCGCGGCACTATCTGGAGTTCCTCAGGGGTCAAACCTGGGGCCTATTTTCTTCATTATGTTCATTAACGAATTACCCTCGGAATTACCAGATCTATTCAAGTCATCAGAGTGTTTGCTGATGACTTGAAAATATTCAAGCGCATCCAGACGGTTAGAGACTCTGTGAGGTTGCAAATAGATATAGATAATAGATAGGATAAACAAGTTGTTCTTTAACGTTAAAAAATGCTGCGTTTTGACCATAACTCGTCAAAAGGACCCAATTCTCTTCGAATACAGATTGATTGATGAAGCGCTGACAAGATCCAAAGAAGTTAAAGGTTTATTAGGATTTATAATCAGGCCAGCACAAAACTTCAAACTTTTATATTACAGTTTAATTAGAAGTAAATTAGAATTCGGCTGCTTGGTTTGATTCGGCGATTGTCAAGAAGCGCTAGGTCAATTGGAGAAGATTCAAAATAAATTTTTGCGTTACCTATACTTTAAGAAATATCATATTTACCCCGACTATATCGTGTCACATCCTCACATCTGCGAAACGAGTTTAAAGGTCTATCGGTATAGAATCGCCGAAATTTGTGTCTTCTAACCTTCTCGCATAAAATTATCAATAATAAAATCAACTCTCCAGGAATCCTGTCATCAATACGATTCAATGTTCCTCCTAGAAGAACCCGATCATCTGTAATGTTTAACATTCCACAGGTAGCCACAGCAGCCTCCGCCAGATCTCCTCTTGTATCCATGTTTCGACTGGTAAACGAATATTGAAGCACATTCTAGCTTTATCAATTTAAGGTAGCCCCATTCATCAATTTATTTATCAATCCTTTAAATCTCGAAGCTGATCAATCCTTCATTCAATGATTGTACTCACTGTGCATATAGGTATACTAAAATCTCATTTTTGATACCTATATGTTTAATCACATGTAGGTATAGGCATCATTACTATCGATATAGACTCGGATATATAGATGATTAGGCTTATTTTTACCATCGGCGCAACTGGGTTATCATAAATTCCGGGCCCTCTTATTGAGACCCGGATTAGACCAGGTAGAATAGGTGCAATGAGGTTATCCCCGAAGGCCAAAACTAGATCCTTTGAGACATAAATATTTTGTCAATTATACATGGTGTTTCAGATTGTAATTGGGAAAATTTAAACTTATATACAAGCTCGTATACAGGGGTGTATAAAGGAGATAGTGGACTGTACATGCCGTTTTCCTCGCATTGAAAAAAATAACAAATGCATCCACTTACAATAAATATGCAATATAAATCCTCCCTGCCTGGCACCACAAGCACAATAAGTACCACTTTAAAGCACCCTTTGGAAAACCGCACGAACTTCCTTTCAATAATCCCGAAACCCTTCAACCACAACGAACAACAAAACAAAAATTAATCACGAGAATAGTCAAGTAAGAGGTGATAATTCGATTTGAATGTCTTATTGGCTATGTTTGTGTCACTCCGGAACAAGCGACAATCATCGGTGATCGGTCTTCGCGCCACAGCCAACTCTTCTAGAATAGCAGATAGCACTCGACAGCAGGTGCGGCGATCTTTTCTGTTTCCAGAGCCTGCTACCTGCCAGGGGGAATCCGTGAACTCGCTACCTTGAATGACCGACTAGAAGCGAAACCTGCGCTGGCTCAGTGGATGTTGCCTCGATTCGAGTGAGGCGAACATTCGGAACATTTTGTGCCGGGGAACAGACGATTAATCAGTCATGGCTTGCTTCATTTGCATGTGGAGGAAAGTACGCGGTATAAATGTTGGTTTAAATGCGGTCCCCAACTTAAATTCCAAGACATGTTTTTATCGAGATAACAAGATAAATACAGGGTGTCCCAAAATAACTGGGACACATAGCTACCACGCGTAGAGGAGGCCAAAATAAGTTGATTGGACCCAATTTATTTATGTGCCAAAATGTACCTACCGTTTGTCTGTGAGAAGGGTTCAAAGTTCACATGAAAAACACATTTTTGTACGCTGTTCAGAAATAAGTGAAACGAATTTGCTGAAATTTGGCAATAGTGTATTTCAGAGGATTACTGCTTTCATTTTGGTAAACGAAGAAACTTGAAAGAAATTGTAGAAGGGTTGAAACAACCCTCACCTCTTGACATTTTTTTTCAGAACTTTTTAAGGGGTCATGATACGGGTTCTGAAAATTTGAGCTTGAAGACTAATCAAATACCTTCATTTTATAACTCTTGTAAAAATTCCGTTCACCGCATAGTTTCGAAGAAAAAAATGTTCTCTCAAATAATACAATAATGCTATACGAATGCTATAGTAAAAGTTTAATTAAATTGTGATAAAAAACTTGGTTGGCAGTGGAAACGAAGGCAAGTCGTGATTTTAACAGGGAACAAATTAATCATCATCATTCAAGTTTGTTGTTTTACATTTTAAAATTAATGTTTGGATCGGATTTATCGAAACATTTTTGGTAGGTCACGAAGAGAGAAACTCAAAGTCATTACCACAACTAGTTCATAAAATGAACGACAAAATGGTAGATAACGAGAGAAAAACAGTTCTCTTCGAAACTATGCGGTATAGGAAATTTTTACAGGAGTAATAAAATAAAGGTAATTATTAGTCTTCAAGCTCAAATAATCTCAGAATAAAGGTATCATGACCTCTACAAAAGTTCTGAAAAAATTTTCAGGAGGGGGTGGGGGGTGGTTTTAACCCTTCTACAATTTCTTTTACGTTATTTTGACCTCCTCTACACGTGGTAGGTATACTGGGTGACACAGTTCTGATGCTTTCGAAGACGGATTTCTCTGAAAATTGAGTTATACAGGGTGGGGCATAGGAACCAAGTGTTTTTTTGTTTGGGTATAGTAGGTACTTGATCATTAGAAAAGGGCGGGGCTCGCGGTTTATTACATTCCATTCCTCGATTCGAAAGCATTTCACTTTCTCAGTTGAAACTTTTGCCATCAGAACAACGCATGTTCGTTATTGTTATTTCATAAATACTTCCCAACCAGCAAAGTTATTTTATAATTCGGCCGATCTGTGATAATTGAATTTCATATAGGTATCTTATGAATACTTTCAAAATGCATTTTCATTTCATTGAGTCAGTCATAAAAACAATTCTGTTATTGACATCTAGGGTGTTTTATAAATAAATCTCTGAAATGTTTCCATGGCTGGAATAAAAAATATCTAATAAAATAGTCTTCAAATCATTTCAAAAGAATATTTTATGGTCGTATTATAAAACATCTCTGTTCATGAAATTGAATTATTTCATAGATACTTCAATATATGATTCTGGCGATATTTCTAATTTTCGTATAAATATATTATAAACATATTTTATTGTTACTTCCTGTGTCCTTAAACAATAGTTATATAAGAGTTCCTTCAGAAACAATTCCGATTTTATGAGAAAAAAGTTGTTCTGGTGACCACTTCATAGCTATTTTATAACATTCATTCATACAGCAAAATGAAAAGCACGAAAAATGTTTTATGAAATGATTTTTTTAACCAAAAATGAATCCTTTATTGCCGATTTCGCCGCTAACTAATTTCATATGATAAAACATATTCAATAATCATATATACCCCCCATCAGCTACCATGACCAAGTTATGTATGTTGTGTGATGACAAATGATAATGTACCGTCGGACATATATGTAAATGGAAAAAGATTAGAAACAAAATTTCTTAGGTTATCTTTCATCAATGTTTTGGTTTCGTCATTGTTTCGTCGTACGCAAACGTTGACCAACAAATAATAATGTTTTCATCATAAAAATACCAAATATGATGGTATCTATTGTTGAGTATAAAATTTTATGAGAGTGGCTAAAATTAAGTTTCATTGTAGGCAAAGAGTTGCCTGGTAGCTCGGTCCTGTGGCAATAATGCTACCAGCAAATTTCCGATATTTCATAGAAATTGTATAGTAGCTGAATTATTTTATAATGCTTGTCAATAATGTTTTCCTGATTTATAAGGAGGCGCCGCCATTAAAAAATGACAACATTTGGGATATCGAAAATGACATGAGTTGAAAATATATTGATAAAATCATACCTATTTGAGATGATATAGCAGCTCATAAAATTTTCAAAATTTGTTTCACAATGTCGTTTAAAAGTAATTGAAATATATTATCTCCCAAGAAATAATCGAGTCGGTGAAGCTAATTTTTTAATAATATTTCTTTTCTCAAAAACATTCACAAATTACGGGGCATGAAAAATATGTTAATATAATATTATAGGTATACCATGTATTTCACAATGAAATTTCATTCGCATGAAATGACTCCCTTGTAAAATATATCAAAGTTACGACATTTCTATAGTTTTCTTCTTTGTGTAGCTGTTTCTTATCATATGAATTCAAAATTGTTTCTTTCGCAACTAGCTGTTCAGAATATACTAAATATCATTTTATTTTTATCTGAGTGTAACTAATCTTCTAACTATTTTATAATGTCAGCGCAGAGATTTTGTTAGAATCGCAAAAATTTTTTGAAATTGTTTTGTAATGATCGTGATCCAACTTTGATAGTTTATATCTTCCGTTGGCGAAAATCTATCATGTTGCAGTTCTCGTTGGTCTGGCATACTATTTAGACTTATTCTATCTCAAACTATTGTATCATTATTCGTTGCTGAGATATGGCCGACTCTCGTTCTTAGTTGTTTACCCTGTACAGGGTGGGCATAGGAATCAAGTGTGAAATAACCTCGGAAATAACAATAACGAACACGCGTTGCTCTATAGCGTACCGAAACCAAAAACACTTGGTTTTTAAGCTCCACCCTGTATAAGCAACCATTTCGGATTTGATCACATAACAATTCAATATGGCGGATTTCCAGTTTTCTCTGGAAATACCAGCAACTTTGTGTTTTCAAATGGAAGACCCTGTATATTTTACATATTAAAAGGCCGATAGTGATTTTGTAATTCGATGATATTTTTGTTTAGAATCAAGCTCTATTTGACGAATTCCAATGTACGAATAATAGAACTACCTACGATACATTTATAAGCTACCAGAATGAAGCCATAGCTATACCCTCTCTACATTCCTATTCCGAGGTGGATTCATATGGACGATCCAATTTATGAATTCAGCCTGCTGAAATTAATTTAACCCCAAGATTAAGAAGTTGAATCTTGCGTTTTCAATTGCAGTTCAGAAGATGAGTAGATAATCGGAAATAAAACAACTTTTTCATCCAACTTTCTTGTAATTTCGAGTTGTAACCTTATTTTTCAATGTGTCAAATTTGACAGGTATAGCAGCTATGTGGTCTTATGCATGACTTAATTTAGACTGAATTTAATTCAACCCTAAGCGTAAGGAGTTGAATCTTGTTCGGAAGATAATGGGTAGAAAATCGGTAAGTAGTCGAACAAATTTTCAACCAACTTTTTTGAAATTTTGAATTATAAATAACCTTACTTTTTCATGTGTAGAATTTGACAGGTAAAGTAGCTGAAAAATGAAAGACTAAGAAATGAAATAAAAAGTGCTTTTGTGTCTTTAATATAGGCTGGTACATTATTACGGTAAAAAAAAACTTAAGCTAACAAAGTAAAACAGTATTTTTTTTTTCAATAGAGATGCTGGTGTCGTCAATCTGAGGGCGAAATATTTTGGGCAGCCGCCACCAGCGTGTCGTGGATCTCTTTGGTATAGGAAACTTGGGCGTTGGCGGTGGCCAAAAATTGGGGGTAAGTCAGCGTGTTGTCGTTGAGGCTGAGGCTTTCGCTCCTAGTAGGGGCCACAGCTAACGGTAAATAGCGGTTGCTGCTCTCCTGCTGTGACAAGCATTTGAGGGACGTTTTCTGGAAAAATCACACCCTTTCAGGTTAGGCAGAAGCGAAACAAATAGATCGCGTGCACGATGACCGACCCTGGAGGTAAAACATTGAAATAACCTCACTTTTCTGCAGCGTTGTTCTTGTCATTACTTTTGTAATAGATCTTAACTATTCCACGGAGGTTGTTACGCTATTACGATTTGTCATGAATCTATTACTATCTGCTGTTAGCTACAAAATATGATGTTTGATCTATTTCTGTGTTCAGCAGGACCGTCTTTCACCTATTAGAGGCCCTGGGCACATTAGAGAATAATGGGGCCCCTATGACTATGATAAAGTACTATAGGTATTTTGTTAGGATAGACGAATAACGAAGAAATGCAAAGTTTTAGCATTATTTTCATTTCTTTACAGTTACAGATTATGATGAATAGGTTATATATCATGTAATCCACACTATAAAGTAAGCAGCATCCACTATTAGCGTTTTCGGAAACTTACTCTGGGTTGATAACTCGATCCAGATAGGTCACGTGACAAAAAACTCGGATCATCTACTCGTGTTCAACGTTTACGAACGTGTCAGGTTAGGAACACTGAATATTATATTTTTCCTGTGGTTTCATGAATTCGACAGACGAAAATGGTCACATTATATTCAATTAATAATTTGATCTGATTACAAATATTTATATTCACCTGTGGATTAGTGTACTTGTCTCATATGTGTTGTTGCACATTACCACAAACTTCACCCAACCTACTATTCTTTGCCCAAATTCTCTTCTCAATGAATTACTTTATTCAAATTATGAAGATTGAAAAGAACATGTATATCACCGGTCGTGACTTTTCCCAACATGCAAATTATTTTATTATTATTGTTATCGTCGAATGTGAACTCCCGCGTTTTTTTATTGAATTCAATTCCGTAATGCGCATGCGGTGTCCTTTGCAACTCTGGCGACCCTGCTTTTGAGTAGGGTCACGAAAAATCAACCCGAGTCAGTGATCGAGTTAGCATCATTCAAGTTTCCGAACAGAGGTAGGTAACTCGGTTTGGGTAACCGAACGTTCAGGTTAGGGATCCGAACAACCCGAGTAAGTTTCCGAAAACGCCTTATAAGTCCTTATACTCCTTATATAAGTATCGATGCTGATGGAAGAGGTACGACTCTCTTCTAGATTTGAGTTGAACAAAATCGTTAATAACATCTTCAGAATCTATGTTTTCGAGCATATCACATTCTATCGTATCGACTAACGACAAACTATTTAATCTCTCTTGAAGCATTGTACTTCTTAATTCACTTTTTATTCGTTTTACTTTGGAGGAGGAGCGTTCCCCACTGCAGTTATAGTTACCATCATGCCTAAGAAAGATTCTCAGTGCGATTATTGCGAAAGACAATTGAAATGAAAAATTATATTAAAATTTATTAAACATGCTGCATTCGGTAAGCCTGATTTTCAGGCGGGAGTTGAGTACCTATGATGACTAGGGGGCCCCAATTTTCGCGGGGCCCTGGGCACGTGCCCAGTGGGGGAGAGGGGCCTGGTGTTCAGAAAATGATTATGTTCTGATCTATGAACTATGAATCTATGTCATGGTTCATGTTGTATATTCATGTCATAAGTTCTGTGTGATTTTTGCCTCATTCCTGTCATAAATGTTCAATCCGTGGGATAGAGGTTGTCAAGAATTTGGTCAAGAATGACATTTAGAATATCAAATGTCAGACCTTTCCAATCTATTACCTTTTGGTTCAAATCTATAACTTTTTTCCAAGAAAATCTGGTACAAAAAATAGACCCAGGAACAACAGTGCTTTCCTGTACAATGAACACAACCTCATAGAAATCGTGTTTTTTGAGCTATTGGCTATTTATCATTAATTTAAGCATGCAATCTACATTGTGCTGTTGTACAATACACAAAAAATGCAGCGAGAGACGAAGGAATATGATTTTTCAGGTAAAAAGTGATCTCCTGTTTTCATGATGAGAAATTTTGCATTGCTCATTAGAATTCCTTCCGGAAGCTAATTCTGCTAATATAGTGAAAATGTCTACAACACGCACGATCATATTTCGTCAGCATGTCAGACCATTCCTCCCGTTTGATTGCATGAATCCAATCTTCTTCTTCTTCTTCTTCAAGAAACTTCACCAGTATTTCTATTAGCTTCTATTGCAGAAGGAATTTCAATGAGAAATGACAAAATTTTAAAATGAAAACTACATGTGAATGACTATAGTACTTTCATTAGATCACAAGTACTTTCATCAGATCACAATGTATGTATGTACCTACCTACCTAAAATCATATTCCGTCGTCTCTCGCTGTATTTTTTGTGCATTGTACAACACACATGTGATGGCATGCTTGAATTGATGAATAGCCGAAAAACACGATTCGTATGCCAAAATAATTGTGAAAAACTATTTCGATTCTTCATAAACAAATAGGAAAAGTGAGGTTGTGTTTCCATGTTCTACCTCCAGGGTCGGTCTCCTCACTCCTGACAGATCTTGCACAAAACCCATTGAAAGTAGTTCTTTGGAGCTCGGTTGGTAGATGGGTAGGAAAGCAATACACACATAACTTTTTCATCGACATTTTCAGTTATTACTTAACTTTTTTATCCTGCTTTTTTGTATCTGTCAAATTTGACAGATATGCATAGCAGCTGATTGAAAGAGATGAATTGCCAGCGTAATTTTGCATGTAATTTTATTTGAATAATATGAATTCATTAGATTCATACGAAATTTCAGAAAATGATCATAAACCATCCAAAACCCTAGTAGCGACCTAGTAAATACCTTTATAATTTTGGTGAGGACTAACATTCTCTAGAACATGAGAAAGATCTCGGAAATAGATAGTTATTCATTGGCTATGTTAAGGTCATTAAAAGGTACAAAAGATTAAAAATTTAAAAATTTTCGAAAATTCACACATACATACAGGGTGTCCGGAAATTATGCGCATAAAATCAAGGGGGCGATTCTGCATGAGGAATCATGAAATTCATATTATAATTACGTGGGTCCGGAAATGCATAGTTTTCAAGATACAGTGTGTTAAACTTTTAAAGAAAATCTGTTTTTATACGAGGTTTTTCATGAATATCTCAAATATCCTTACTTGACCTTAACATAGCCAATGAATAACTAATAGATAGTTATTCATTGGCTATGTTAAGGTCATTAAAGGGTACAAAAGATTAAAAATTTAAAAATTTTCGAAAATTCACACATACATACAGGGTGTCCGGAAATTATGCGCATAAAATCAAGGGGGTGATTCTGCATGAGGAATCATGAAATTCATATTATATTTACGTGGGTCCGGAAATGCATAGTTTTCAAGATACAGTGTGTTAAACTTTTAATGAAAATCTGTTTTTATACGAGGTTTTTCATGAATATCTCAAATATCCTTACTTGAGTTGGAATTGCGAAATCCAGTGGCGTCCCGGCGGCACCCTACCGAATATTAGTGTCAATTAAATGTGCGCCACTAATTTTTTCGAATTCTATATCTTCATTTCCAATTGACCAACTGAAAATATAACATTTTGGTCTCCTGAATTGTTTTGATATTTTGCTTCATTTCCTTGGAAATAAATAAATACCAATTTATTGTATAAATTTGTGCAAAACAGTCCTTCATGAACAGGGGTGATAATAATAAATGTGTGATCCATATCCATAGACATAGAATAAGAATGAAGATTCATTTTCTTCAAATATTTTATAATACATGTTTGACACACTTCGTATTATTGAAAACTATGCCTTCCTGCAGTGACGGCTCGTGCCCTCAGAACCTGGGTCGGCCAGGGTATAGATATTGCTCTAAAATGCGAACGTAAGTGGGTCAGCGGCTTGAGTGAAGTTCGATGGCAAATAAGCATGTACAGGGTGATTCACCATAATTGTCCTTTCTCCCTGTAGCTCACTTATTTTTGACCCAATTTAAAAATTTGAAGGATGATCTAAAATGATTTCTCAGAATTTTTTTCCCGTTGCATCAGGAAATACAGGGTGCTCGGAACAAATGATCTACAGGGTACTACTCGATTTTTCCAAATCGAACACCCTGTATTTCATTGTATTTTTAGATTCTTCCTGAAGAGCTGATTGAACTGTCTATTGAGATTTGATTGGAACATTTACAGGGTGGTTCAAGATTCAGAATTCTGATCACCCTGTATCTGTTCCAATTATTAAATGTCAGTAGATTGTAAATCAAAAGTTGAGATATGGACATGAAAGCCGTTTTGACCGATGATGAATAGTTTCGTCTCAAAAAAATCCTAAAGTTGAAAAATCTCGATTTTGAACACCCTATATCTCTGTAATCATTCCCGATAGACCCCAAGTGTGATACATTGAGCAAATCAGCTTTTCAGGGAGAATCTAAAAATACATATAATCTTCTAAAGTTCAAGAAATTCCAATACCTACCTCTTGTCCCTATCCTCCCTAGGAACGCACGATGTTCTTTGAACATTATAGGGATTCCCTTTCGCGCGCTCCAAGCGATAAAAAAAAAAGGGTGTTCCTTATAAAAAAATCAAATGGCACCCTGTAGATCGTTTGTTCTGAGCACCCTGTATTTTCTGAAGTAGCGGAAAAAAACTCAATCAAAAATCATTCAAGATGATATTTCAAATTTTGAAATCGGTTTAAAAATAATTGAGCTAGAGGGGGGTACATTTATGGTGAATCACCCTGTACACATAACCAAAAAATTAAATTGTCCAGCAAGAACCACGAGGTTAGAGCATTCTCGCCAGGGGAAATGGGGAAAGAAAAAGGAGGTGGATAACGGTTAGTTGGTATGAAAAAATAATAACAAGAAAGTCGAAAAAATAAAATGAAAGAAAATAAAAATAAAATAACTCGTGAACAAAAAATATTTATATTCTGTTGAAAACGTAATGTAAACTCAAAAAAATCAACATAACCGACAACCACTCACCTAACTCGAGAAGCACAACAATGACTAATCGGTCTACGCCGTTCCTGTAACAAGCCACCCCACTGACCCCACTCCTTCGTAGTCGGCTGGCCGAGCCCGCGTGCAGGGTGCAGCCGTAGGTATAATGTTTCCCGCGATGCGATGGATGCATAAATATTATTTAGGTAGTTTATAACCGCTACATGCGTCTTTGAAAATAAATGATATTCTGGAAGTTATACATTTATTACATTTTCGTCACCAGAGCTTTTTTACGATGTTTCAATACCTACTCAGCTCTTGGACTGCTGACATTTTTCTTGCCATATTACCAGGGGCGGCGAGTGCATGGGGGCATCGGGGCCAATGCACCCATGTAGGCAGTGGGTATGGGTGCAATGCACCCATTGGCCGAAACAGACGTATAAAAAAACAAATTATAGATACGGGCGAAATGAGCACTTGTAAATATTGCACATTGTTGCTGGACAAGTATAGGTAAACAACCATGCGAACCGTATATTCGATTCATGTGCATCCAGGGTTTGACACTGTGCACTGTGCAGATATTCCGATTTAAATTTCAGACATTATGACATCACAGGTTACAAGTGCCAGTTTGGAAAAAAATAGAAGTGGCTAATGAATCCATTGATAATACAGTCAGTAGGAATACCTTTGCAATAAATTAACTGGGGTTACTTGCTAATTTTTTCGAATCCCGAAGTTTCTCTATCCCATTTTTTGAGATATGAGAACTATTAAATCTTATTTTATTTTTGTAGAGATTGAATTTTCTAATATCGTTTTAAATTTTGGGTTATGTTCACTTTTTTCAATAGTGAAAAAAAAATTCTTCTATTTCTCATCCTTGTTCATATTAATATATCAACCATAAACTCGAAACCCGATTAGTCACAAAATATTATATATTGGTAGAGGTGTTTCACACTTGATGCAAAATAAATAATGCTTTGATCTATCTTGAAATTTGATGGCATTTGACCTTGAACCATGAAAAATTTTCGCCTGCGGCGCATAATTTTGTCTTACCCTGACCCCACAATTTTGGCACCCATTGGACAAAACAAAACTCGCCGCCCCTGCATATTACCTACATAGGCAGAGGCACAGTAGGTTACATTACAGCAATATTCAAATTGAATTATAACTTATTGACGCTCAGAAGCACTGAAGGAAAATTCTGATACCAATATTAGATGGATATGTTGAATTATGAATTACTGAAAAATTGCAAATTCAAAAATCACCAGTCATTTTTACTGCAACTACTGCAAGCGTAAACAAAAACATGGAAATTATTTTTCTTTTCAGTTTGTACATTTCAAATTCCAACATCAACTTACAAATAAGTATAGGAATTAAAATTATAAATACCTACAATGTAAAATGAAAATAGAATGTCAATCATGCGAATCCGTATATTAATGGTTCGATACGGTGCACAGCGAGCGCACTGCAAACAACTGATACTGATAAGTACGATCGATACGTTGGACGGCCAGCAGAGCTTGGCCGCACCCAAGGTATGACGCGTATAAGCGAAAATTTAAACTTGAAGCGGGGAATCTGTAGGCGATGCCTGTGGCGATGCGTCGAGACAAGAAATCACCGATCGGCCGGCCGACTGCATCAGTGTAATGAGCTACGCGAGCGGTTCAACTGAAAGCGGCGTTTTGCCGATGGGATTACCAGATGTCGTAGGTCCTGAATTAGTTCGTGATTTTCGGTGTATATGCGGATGAATGAAATTCAAATAATAGTGGCATAACAGTAGGATAATGAGCGATGAATTATGAAAACAGTTTCGGAAAATAATTTGATTCATCAAATAGTTCAGTAATTTTCCCCAAATTATTTGGTACGGCCCGGCCGACCCTGCCGTCCCTGACGAGCCGTCACTGCCTTCCTGGACGGAGAATACATAGTTCTCAGTATACAGAGTGTAGACTGTGTCAAACATGTATCATGAAATAATTGAAAAAAATTAATCTTTATTCTCATTCTATATCTATGCACATGGATCATGCATTTATTTCCACCCTAGTTTTCCAAGGAATTTCTTGGCACAAGTTTATGCAATAAATTGATATTTATTTTTTTCCATGAAAATGAAACAAAATATCAAAACAAAAGGTTGTATTTTCATGTGGCCAATAGGTTATGAAGATACAGAATATAAAAAAATCAGTGGCGCACATTTTTTTGACAATATTATTCGGTAGGTTACCCACCAGGACGCCACTGGATATCATAATTCCTATTGAATTATAGCTATATTAGCCCCTGCATGACAAAAAAATATAATTGCCAAATTTCAAGAAAATCGGTGGAAGGACATTTGAGATATTTATAAAAACCTGATTTATAAAATGAATTTCTTATATCATGTAGAATCACCCCATTGATTTTTTGTGCATGATTTCCGGACACCCTGTATAGACATAAAGAAATAAACAATAATCATCATTATTATATCAATGTATAAGTTCTGTAGAGCATAATCAGGAGTGAGGTCTATGTGTAGTCCTGCATTCTGAGGCCTATTTCTTCCAAAAATTCCATAAAATATAATGTGGTCTCCCTATAGGAACAAATAACTCAAACAATGATAATAATTTAATAACATACCAAATGTAGTTCAATTTGATCACATATGGAATAGAACTCTTCCAGGTTCTTATCAAACCTTGGTATTTGTATGTCAATGCCCTTCCTGTGAAATAAAAATGAAATAATAAATGAAAACATTTGCTGAATAATGATACTTTATCTATAACAACTTTGTATACTTACTGTGAACCACCATCAACTTGACTATTTTGGTTTAAAGTCTGGGCAGCAGTTTTAATAGTATTCTGTAACAACAATAAATGTTTTTATCTTTATATAGCTCATAGGTACTCAATGTCTTTAATATATAATACTTCTTACTGATAGAGATTCTCTTAAAGGTCCAACTAATGATTTGATTTTAGAAATGTTATCAAAAGGCTGTTGGGGCTGCTGTTGTTGGGCTTGTTGCTGCACAACTTGCTGCTGAGGATTCTGTTGTTGCTGTTGTTGTTGATGCTGCTGCTGCTGTTGTTGTTGCAACAAAATGTTCATCATTTTGTTGGCAAAATGGAAAATTATTTCCAAACAATGATGGCTAACTAGTGGTAATTATTGTTTATTTTATTCTTTTCTCATTTATTTGGTTTATTTTCCAAAATCCAAAATTTTTGTTTTGAACATTGACATTACTGGTGGAATTGGCACCGCAAGGAGTCAGAAAACCAATAAAGACAACAGAAGAAGAAGAAGAACATTGACATTACTGACAGCGACAGGACAGGATTATGTTTGACATTGTATGAATAACAGTGTTGCCAGTGACCAAGATTGATAAACTAAACAGCCGTTCGTGACATTTTCGTACCTTCTTGCTGGCCTGATCCTTCCAACTTGAGCTCAAATTCTCAACATTGATGGAAATAAGTAGAAGGTGCACTTACTCGGCCATTTTTACGCATTGAAAACTGTAGAAAAATCACTCGACCACATACTATGATTTCCCTACGTCAGAAAAATCAGGTTAGGTTAGGTTGAGGCAACGTTCAGTTGGAGGTGGGCACAGCATCCCATATACGTATTAATAAACAATACGGATCATAACGGGTGCCAGGATGAAGCCAAAAATATGAAACAAATGAATATCCATAAGGATTTGGTGGCATGATACGCATGCGCCATGCGTTATAGTAATCAAAGACATGCGTTTCGGTCGACAATGACGTTTACTAGCCTTTCAATCAAAGCAGTATGTGTCTGATCGTTTCAAAACTTTTCCTTATGGATAGTCATTTGTCTTCAAAAATCGGCTTCATGTTTCGCTATGGAAACAGATAGAGATTATCCGTATTGATTATTAATACGTATATGCAGCAATGCAGCATCCCAACGTCATCTAATTACCTTGGCGACCGCGAATTTAGTGACTTGACCACGAATGAAATTGCCGTTTTAAGTCTTCTGCGCTAAGACCAAAATTAAGATGCCACCAGCCGATTCGATATGGATACAAAATTTTAGTGGAAAGACAAAACTAGTTCTTAGAGGATTGATAAACTGTGCTTTTGATCTCCAATCCATTCATCTGATGGAAATCAGTCCCAAAACTCCGAAAACGCATAGGCACAGAATACAGTTCATTGGAAAACTTTTCCTGTGCTTATTATAAGTGGCAACAGTGGAAGAAGACAAATGTCACGGTGACTGTGACATCACGTGTGCCATCATATGATCGACAATCTGACAGATTTCACGAGTGTTGTTTCTTGTGTGCTCTTCAACAGATCCTAGGTGTGTCCTCCAGTTTTTTGGTGAAATTATCTATTGTCGCAAATTCTTGGAAGCAAGAAATTCACCATGTCTCTCAGCGATGCAGATGTTCAAAAGCAAGTACGTGAATCTCAATTTTTTTCCATATTCCTGCCATTTCAGTATCTTTCATTTTTTCCTAAAGGTTTCAATTTATTTCTGATATACTTTTAACATCTTCAAGAAATCTAATTTTTCTCTCATTAGATCAAACACATGATGGCTTTCATTGAACAAGAAGCCAATGAGAAAGCAGAAGAAATCGATGCCAAGGCAGAGGAGGAATTCAACATTGAAAAAGGGCGTTTGGTCCAGCAACAGAGACTCAAGATCATGGAGTACTACGAGAAAAAGGAGAAGCAAGTCGAACTTCAAAAGAAAATGTAAGTCTGGTCACAAATCATGTGACATGATTGGGTTAGGTTAGACCCAACAAGTAATTTGTCCTTGCATATCATTCAATTGAGCTGTAATTGAGTGCCAGTTGATAAAAATGCTACTTTGAATTCAGTTAGTTATGAAGTGCAGATCACCCTTGTGTTTTTGTTTTTCAGTCAGTCCTCTAATATGTTGAATCAGGCTCGTTTGAAGGTGCTGAAAGTGAGAGAGGACCATGTCAGAGCAGTCCTGGAGGATGCTCGTAAAAGTCTTGGTGAAGTAACCAAAGACCAAGGAAAATACTCCCAAATTTTGGAGAGCCTAATCCTACAAGGACTGTTCCAGGTAAGCCAATTCAAGTTTGTCATCAAATGAATCATATTTTATACCAACAAAAATGTATTGAAAAGTGAGAACATTGAATGAAATATAATATCTATCTCTCACTGTAAAAAATATCATTATTAATTATTGATGTATGCTTGAATAGGTTTGAGTATAACATAAAAATTATGTACTAATCTTTATAGACCAAATACACAGAAATTCTTGAGAACCTAATCCTGCAAGGGTTGTTCCAGGTAAGAATTTGAATACAATTATTCCATACATTGGTTGAGGGCTTTTACTAATACTAATATGCTTATAAAAATTGAAAGTGAAATTATAATACCCATTTTGTTAATTTGACAGATATTGTTTTCAAAATATTCAAGAAACGGTTTCTTTTATAAATAGAACAACTTTGGAACATTTATTTTTCTGGTCCAAATAGAGCACATGAAACTTGAATACTGAAATATCAATACTTTTACAAACATCTCAACTTTTACCAATATTTCAAACCAATGTCCCATTGTCATCCTCAAAATATTTGATGTTTTCTTGAATACAATTAGGAAACAATGATTCAACAATCAACATTGGAAAAATCATTTTATTGACAGTTTGAAACTTCTAGTAAGTGAAAAAACTAATCAAAAATGATGATATTTTCATATTTCCTGGATTCCTGGCCAAACTGCCGAAAATTGCATAGAAAAAAAGTTTGGGAGAAGATTTGTCTTTAGCACCACCTATTTTCCAGGCATCTGATCAAAATTTTGGAAAACCTAACATTTCCAAATCGGGCATGAAAATTATTATACATGTACAAAATTTCGTTATCTCATCACAGAGGTTTCCGGAAATAGGAAATATTCACAAAAAACATCTCGGACCATCTTTCAGATGGCTATAACTCCCCAGGGGACCATTTCTGGGCTCATGTTTATAATATATGAACTTTTTTCACTATTTTTGTTCCTAGAATCTGCGGTTGAAATTTTTCTATGTAATTTCGGGATACCCTGTATACTTGCAAGATGCTTCAGTACCAATAAAAATATCCTAGCATTCCTAATAATGATAGAGATTTTATTCAATCCCAAATTATTTTGTGGCACGGGCAACAGTGTAATGGCTTTGTCCCCAAAAATACAAAAAAAGAAGAAGACAAACTATACTGTCAATTTGCCAACCTAACTTCCTGACGTAAATATCGACAGTCACCTCCATACTTTATGCTGGGTATATACATTCAACTAAACTAAGAATTAAACTAACAACTCGCGATAGAAAATAACACGTCGCCCTATCTGACGGCAACAATTTGAACACTTCTGAGCGGTTTGTTTTGAAGGATTGACCAATAATCAGAAACGAAAAACAAATGTGAACCAATAGAAACAAAGTAAACAGACCGCTTTAAGAGCTTTCAAAAACTTATTTTCTATCGCGAATGAACTTAATAAGTGGAATACAACGAAACAACTATGAGGGTTTATACATTTATATCTTGTCATTTAAATTAAGAATTACAAAGACCAACTTTCAACTTAACAACTAAGAATTAGGAAATTCTGGAGACAAAACATGAAGATTGGATTTGTGGTAAAACTGCATTTATCATGCGATAAGTTTTCTTTCGAAAACATTTTTTGGTACCTACCTACGTATTTTTGTCTGAAATACACGAATTTGATAATGAAAATGTGAACAAACCACTATTTTTCCAGATATTTCAAGAAAAAGTTCGAAATTTCGTCTTCTTTTTCCCTTTGTGTTGGATGCATTTACAGCTACTTGCTCTTCTCATTTTGTTATTGGGCACTTCACATACTCATGATGTACTTCAATGACATATTTTCACATAGAAAATTCAACTGGAAATATGATTTTCATAGCGAGTTTTTCATATTTAGTGAACAAGCATTCCAGATGACGGCCATTTAGTCAATAGAAAATCATATTTCTAGTTGACTCATATAATAGGAAAAAAATGTGCCGTACATTGTGATATAAATATACGGGGTGTTCTTTAAAGACATGCTAATATTTAAGGGATGTCTTGAAAGTCTTAACTTTTGAGATACAGGGCGATAAATTTTTGAATAAAAATCAGTTTTTTAATAATAACTGAGATAATATTGTAGACATCTTTACCAAATTTTGTACATGTCTTCTATGCATCAAGGTGCATTTTCTGATGTACACAAATTTTCATTTTGCCTGCCAGTGGCGCCCTTTGGGGGATATTATTGTTTATATTTTACTCAAAAGTGATCAACGATGGAAAATTTCCAAATTTCATACAATCCTATGAAAGGCAATTCAATTATGTACAAAAAAGATCGATAGAACGCTCTGTTTTCGAGAAAAAACGGAAAAACGAGACCAGACTTCAAATTTTGATGTAAATAATTATCTATGCATATTTTCAACTTTGATACCCTGTATCTCAAAAGTTAGGACGTTTGCGACATACGTTCATATGAAGTTTTATTCTTGAAATAGGTCCAAAAGCCGTCCCCTTGAATATTAGCATGTCATTAAGGAACACCCTGTATAAATTGTTCAATGATAGAAAAAGAAGGGCAAATTGTTCTAAATGCGATCCAGAGGACAGGCAGAAAAGAGGATGAATTTTGTAACATTACATTATAGTGAAATATCTTAATGAATAAAGGTTTGTTCCAGTGCCGGACTGGCCCATCTCAGCTGAGTGAGATTTTGAAAAATTGGGGCCCCAAATGAGTCGTGCTCGTTCTCTCGGATGTAGTCGAAGAGCCGACTGCAAATTTCGACCGTCATCTGATAACGAACTGACATATGTCCCATAGGCATGTAAAAACGTATGTTTTGCACTGGTCCATCGGATATAATCTTTCGTCAGGGGCGAAATATTCACGGCAATATTGCCGCTCTGCCACTAACTTAGATCATTTTGAATCATTATCACGTGACTGAAGTATGTCCGGAATAACGGTAGCAAATAATTCGCTTTGTAGTGGATTTGACTTAGATTAAGAGGTGGCACACATCAAGGTGTTGCGATCTACCATTCAATTGGTATCGGATGGCATAATTCTGATCTCGTTATCAATTCGAAAAGAAACAAAAGTAAATGAAGGTAAAGATCACAAATATAATAATTACCCAAATCCGCCGACGTTGCAACCTCACTGTTGCTACTGTTGCCAGAGATCCTCAAGGATTTGTAAGTACAGTCGTCTTCAAAGGACATGTCGCACATGGACGGTGTCAGTTCTGTTGATTATTGCTGCAATAAGACCGCTCATACCGTCCAACCGCGACATGTTCACTGAAGGCGAGTGTACATACATGTTTTTTCATGTTTCTGGCAATTATACTGGTGCCAATATTATTTTTTTCAACTAACTTATTCGAAAAAGTATTGTTGTCTCACCACCTCACCGGGCCAGTCCGGCACTGGTTTGTTCACATTTTCATTATCAAATTCGTGTGTTTCAGACTAAAATACGTAAGTACGAAAAAAAAAGATAATTGTAGTTTTACCTTCACCGTTCTGGTCCCTTTTACGTCTTGCCTAGAGTTCCTAAATGTACTTGACACTGCTATTTTGACGTCTTTTGTATATTAGAGTACGGACACTAGACAAGCATTGACAATCATACATAACCACACACGATTTTGAAGCAAATCATATGTTTTGCCAGGCAAGGACAAAAATATGGCTTTCACTTAGATAAAGGATCCTCGCATCTTCCTTCCTCCACAAGTCCTGGGAAGAGTACATCCATATATCTTTCTCTGTCTTTGATTTTCGTATGAGAGTGCATAGCGTCTCCTCGAGTGGGTAAAAGGGTACGATAAATTGATTAGAAAATTATTTCTTCTCGAAATATTGAATGCTAAGGCTGAAGGACCTCAATGGAGGTCGATATCAAGTTGGTATGTACATATATATACGCAACGATGGTAATTCGTATTGAAATTTCAATGAATTATTGTAACCAGATGAACGACACGTAAATTTGATCACCAACGCTTTTTCCAAACTTTTTGCATCCCATCTGTTACCATTGAATTTTGAATTTTCAGATGAATCATGCTCATATGATGCAACATTTTTACTAATATTATTCAATTTGCTATTCAAATCTTCCATTCGGTTTTTCAAGTGCAAAAGTTTTTTATAGTATTGTTCATCGATACTATGAATTTTGTTCAAATTTGCCTGAATATTTGCTTGTTCATTTTTTTTGTATTTCTAAGGGTTCAAGTTTCGTTTAGCTGAAATCAGTTATGGAAAAACTGTTGCCATGGCGACGATCGTCATGGTAACGGGTAAACAAAAATCCAATTCCCGTGGTGAGGAAATGCGTGGTTGCCAAGTTGTATCGGGTTTGGTTTGGCTGAAATCAGTTATGGAAAAACTGTTGCCATGGCAACGATCGTCATGGTGAGTAGTAAACAAAAACCCGACTCTCGTGGTGAGGAAATGCGTGGTTGCCAAGTTGTATCAACTTTAGTTTCACAAAAGTTCTTGCTAGTATTCAAACAATAACTTGATTCGAATGAATACCCTTCTTATCAATTTCTTGAAGACTGTTCGTCGTTGATTAATGCCCAAATTACTACTTCTCTGACAATCATATATGGAAATAACGTCAGGAAAAATAGGCTCTGTTATTGAACAGAGCTAGACAAAATAGCGAGCGACAAAATAGTGCGGAACAAATAGAGCATAAGGAAGAATACTACTTTTTCTAAACAATCTAGCCTAACTCGGCTTAAATGAACCTTCTTAGAAAAAATATATTTTTCAACATCGATCAGATTTGGTAGCAAGGCATCGTTCGTGTGTCTTTGGAGACTGCATAAAAAAGGACACTACTTTTTCCAAACAATCTAACCTGACTCGACTTGAATCAACCTTCTTCTTGAAAAACTATTATTTTCCAACATCGTTTAGACTTGGTAGCAAGGCATCGTTCGTAAATGTTTGAAGACTGTTGCTGAATCAAAATGTGCGCGTGAAAAAAGGTATAAGTGAATCGAAATGAAGGCAAATGGAAATGTGGGTGGGCCTAACGAGATGTTTCCATCTGTATTAGACAATCAGTACCAGTAGTCTCTCTTCCGCGGTATCTTGTAATGAATATTCCATTTTTCCATAACTGATTTCAGCTATAATAAACCCGATACAATTTGGCAACCACGAATTTTCTCACCACGGGAATCGGGTTTTTGTTTACTCGTTATCATGACGATCGTTGCCATGGCAACAGTTTTTCCACAATTGATTTCATCTATACTTAACCCGATACAACTTGGCAACCACGCATTTCCTCACCACAGGAATATGATTTTTGTTTACTCGTTACCATGACGATCGTCGCCATGGCAACAGTTTTTCCATAATTGATTTCAGCTAAACGAAACTTGAGCCTTTCTAAGATATTTGCTGATTTTGTTTCTGAATCTGAAATAATTTTTAGGTAATAGTTCTTAATTTTGCTAACTCTGACTTTTGTATGTGAATCTTTTTGCTTCAATTTATTCTCTAACTCTATTTTTTTCTTCTATTTGTTTCCTGAATTCCTCACTGTCTTCCACTCGTAAACCTTGGATTTTTGAATATTCCTGCTCTAAAAATTCGATTCTCAAGTCTTTTATTTTCAAAATATGCTCGAAATGAATTTCATCATCTGCAAGTTTTTCGTTTCTTGTTGGTTCTAGATTGGAATAAGAATCTTTTCGATATGTACTAGCTCAGTTTATAAATTGTGGGTTCGGCTCTTTCTCTCAATACGATCCTATTCTTCAACATCAAATATCCCGTTCTGAAGTGTACCTGATAAAAATGCGTTGTAAAATGTTCAATCCTCGCAAATTTTGTGGCCTGAACTATATTCCGTGCCGGCCGCATCATATTCTGTTTCCATTTTTGTAGAATTACGTTATCCGATGGAAATTCGAATAGAGTGAATTTCCGAGTTCTCACAGTTGGAAACTGCACAAACTTGCATCCTTCTCCTAATTCTCTCAATTTGTCAAACCTTTGAAATTAGTCAGTTCCTGTTATGTCCGATTGTCAGTGCTTGTCATAGTGTCCGTACTCTAAATATACAAAAAACGTCAAATCAGCAGTGTCAAGTACATTTAGAAACTCTAGTCTTGCCTACTAACCGATAGGATCGCAGGCCCCTAACTCGGTATCCCTGACCACACTCCCCCCCTTGTTGCAGCTGTTCGAGAAGGAGGTGACGGTCCGCGTGAGACCGCAAGATAGGGACTTGGTTAGGTCCATCCTGCCCAACGTCGCTGCCAAATACAAGGACGCCACCGGCAAAGACATCCTACTCAAGGTTTGTTCGTTTGGAAGTTCTCATGATTATTCGCGATAGAAAATAACACGTCGCTCCGCCTGACGGCAGCAACTTGAACACTTGTGAGCTGTTTGTTTTGATGATATGACCAATAATCAGGAACAAAAAACGAATGTGAACCAATGAAAACAAAGTAAACATGCCGCTTTGACAGCTTTTGAGAACTCCGATAGGTGGCGTACGCTTATTTTCTATCGTGAATAATACTCTGCTAGATCCACCCTTCTACACATGTTTCCGAGTGGATTATTTTTTTTTATTTCTTAAATAGAATTACCACTCAAAGGCCTTTCAATTTTTTCGGTCGATTTTTTGGTGCTAAAATCATCAATAATCCCACGGTAATTTTCAAACGGATAGAAATTTACCGCGAGTCAAAACAGACTTTTTTTTTATTGACTCGGCCTTTATTACTTGATGGATATTCATGGCAAATGTAAGAACTTGACAAACGATAAGATTTCCACGATAAGATTTATTTTATGTATATATCTACCTATAGATTTTTATTCATATATTCTCTATTTTTAAGGGTTAAGTGGAAGAACATTATCTGTAAATCCTTGATTCGCAGAAAATGAACTTTGCCCTTTATTTCCAGTTATAGTATTCATTAGATAAGGTTGATGTTTATTTTATGTATGAGGAAGTAATAGAGACGATATTATATTATTATTATTAAAATTGCTCTCGCATTGACGTCACACGTTTAGCAGCCATATCAGACCATTGAATTCGATTTAGATGATCTATTATTCCATCAGTAGATGAGGAAATTCCGAATAATCATCAAATATTCTTTCTGAAAATGACTGAAACGTTTCATCGGAAATATTAATGCAAAGATAAAGTAAAATCATCGATATTGAAGGTGGACGATGAGTCGCACCTGTCTCAGGAGATCACCGGAGGCGTCGATCTGCTCGCCCAGAAGAACAAGATCAAGATCAGCAACACGATGGAGGCTAGGTTGGATCTGATCGCTCAGCAGCTGGTGCCACAGATCCGTACGGCCTTATTCGGACGAAACGTCAACAGGAGATTCACCGACTAATTTGTCTCAATTTTTCTTTTTTCTCGCGCGTTTTTACCACCGACATAACCTATACTATCCAAAGCGCTAAAACTAAGAGTTCATCCATTTCCGAGAATCATTTGGGCGAATAAATATCCATTATATCAGTTCGTCATGCCAGAGATGTATAGAAATTTAACTGGTGCGCTTACTATCCCTATTGAAGGTCGTTTGCAAGTTTCTCGATGGCGCCTACTCTGATAAACCTTTGATAAACATACTTGACCTGGTTACAATCCATATTTACAGGAAACATATTACCGACCGATAAATATTTGGATACGTATATGATTTGGATCAGAGCAGTGAACTGATTTCTGATCAAAGGATCGAAACGTCAATATGTCGGAACAATGATGGAAATAGATTCATCCCTCACAGAACCAAGGTTTTGAATGATTTTCCGATTATGGCGCCTCTATCGTCAAATAACTGAACCCCACGTCCAAAACTCGCTTGCAATTGTTCCATATTGAGAGTTAGTCTGACGAAACAATTGAAGAGTGAGCCCACCAGTTAAATTTCTATACATTTCTGTCATGCCAACCAAGTGACAAGAAGAAGATTGTTCAATGGTGACATGACGTGTTGGGGGGACAGTCTGACAACTTAAGTAAGCTGAGGTATTTTTTCGCGAGTTCCCGTTGATCAGCCTCCGGTAATATAGAGCGGTTATACCCCTACCAAAAAATAAACCGAAGGTCGTTCATCCTTTGATTTCTCACGAAAATGAACCGGTTAACCGTTTTTGGGGATCTGGAATGGACATATATCAATTATAACAAGCACTAAAAATACTCCCATACTTACCATTCAGCAACTGGTTTGCTGTTATTATTATGTCAACAATTACAGTGTAATTTTCACCGCTATTGTTTAATTCAAGCTCAACCTGATCAAGTTGGTGTTCTTGTTGGTGTTCTTCCATTTCTTGATTCAAAAAGTGAGCAGTAGGTATCTCAAAGATAGTTTGAATAACTATAAATATGTTTACGATACATTGTCACTTGTCAATTACTATAACCGCCAGTAATCCTGTTCACCGATGCGGGAACTAAAACGGTTCCCGTTTTATAAATTGTGACGTCACTGATGACGTCATTATCATACTCCCCTAAGTCCCCTATTACCGTTATGACGTGACAATGCAACGGAAACTGAATATCAGTTCCCGGCAAATCAACGGGATCTCGCGAAAAAATAGAGAGTTGAAGTGTTGTCATGAACGTTAACGTTAACGTAGAAATTGACAGCTACGCATGCGCATTTTCCAATTCTTCACGTTTGCGTTGTTAGTGGGCTTTCGGGTGTGCGTTATCTCACGTTCCTTCACGTTTACCTTAAATATCAACGTACGTTAACCAAACTATACTCGAAATATGCCGATGAGTCAAAATTATCAAATTCGAGATCACCAACGAGTTATGCATCAAGGAGTCCTCTAATTTTGACAGGAATAAATGTTCCAATCTAAACACACAACCAAAAATGACCAATACAAACCGAAAACAAAATGTATTATTACGTTATGATGACAGTGACGATCAAAGTGGCGACTTCAACTCAATTTAACGACAATACGTAAACGTTATTCTTCGTACGTTAACGTCTACGTGGAGGTCTACGTACAGTGATTACTTCAACTCTCTAATATCTCTGGTCATGACGTGAATTTCAAGACGTTACATGGCAGTCTAATGAGGTCACATACTTTCTTTTTGGAAAAATCTACTTTGAATATTCCTTATCACTTTCCTTGTATATTATTATCATGAATAATTTTGTAATTGAATAAAACGCTGATTATCAAAATATTTGGTGGATTCATGCAGCATCAACTAACAATTATTATCAAGGAACAATACATTATCAATGATTATAACTTGAACTTTCTATTTTCAATCACTCACTTTATGCAAACAATTACTATTATCATTTATCAAATATCAAGTAGAAGGTGCGCAGCTAGTATGCAGATGACCAAGGATTGGTTCATCCTATCATTGGAACTAACCTCAAAACATTTCCCGGCTTTGTGTTTCTTTTTATTGTTCCTATTATTTTTAAGTTTCGGCCCCACTTGTGATAACAATATCTCAAAAAAATGTCTATCAAGTATATCATGAAAAAAATCGGAGGTAATCTTGAATGGCCTGGCATGGACTTCTGCGCCAGCGTATTTTTTATTTTCAATTGTTAATTTGTTTTGCATAAATGTCAACATTTTGGCTACTCCTTACTTGATATTTCCTTTAATTGACAATTGTTATTTGATAATTACTATAAATTGATGCTGAGTTTCAGATGATTGATGTGGGTAAATTCAATATGGATATAAATGAGCTTTAGCTGCTCTAGTCTAGTGGTTTAGATAGTAGGGTCTATTTCCATCATTATAGTAGGTTATTTTGGTGGTTTTTACGTTGTGGAGCTTTTTATTGGATATACCCATCATAGTGCTATATTAATAGTCAAATTTATAGAGATTATGATTAATTATTGATGTCTATCACATTGATTGGAATTTGTAAATATATTTCACTGTTGAAACCTTTTTTTTTATGATAATCTTCAAATAAAGGAATTGTCAAATTCAAACGTCATTCATATGCACTCAGGTGTTCTCTGATTTGTTATAAGGATGTGCTCCTGGAATATTTATACATTTATTTAAAAAAACTATGCTATTTTCCCAATTCAGACACTGTAAGATTTATGCATTCCCAGAGTATTACTTTTATGGATTAATTAATTGACCTCTTGTTATTTCAGTTATGTAAATAAATTGTGTTGCAGTTAATCCATGTGATTTTTACTTCCTTAAATGCTTGCCAATATGTTTTAATTGAAAAATATGGTGTTAGATTAGGTTGTCAAGCCGATAATTTATTCCTCTCTGATTTAATGATTGGCTTTGGTAGTCTTCAGTGTATTTACAATACAAAGTTCTGATCAGATATAGCTAATTTAAAAATTTTTCGGTAATTTTGCACTTATCATGCGATGGTTTTTTTTTCGAAAATTTTTTTTGGTACTTACGTATTTTTGTCTGAAAAGCACGAATTTAATAATGAAAATGTGAACAAACCATTATTTAATAAAAAGCTTTTATTTAAACGCTCTAAAAAGAAGAAAATGAAAATTTTATCAATAATTTTAACTATCAACTTATAATAACCTCCTAATACACAATTCATATGATCATAAAAGTTTGTCTCGCAATACACTTGTGTGAATGAACTAGTACTTATTTAGTTATGTAAAATCTGCTGAGGGAAACTTTTCAAAATTACAATTTACTTAAATATTGATCATCGTGACAAGCTTTTATGATCATATAAATTGTGTATAATGAGGTTATAAGTTGATACTTAAAATTATTAAGAACAATTTTATTTTCTTCTTTTTGGAGCGTTTAAATAAAATCTTTTTATTAAAAATTTTTTTTTTCACTTTTAATTTGTTTTTTAATTTTTAGTTATCGCTAGTTGGATTTTTGATTTACTCTCAACGAGCCTTTTCATTTGATAACCATATTGTAGAAGTGTGTTGAAAATGACCATTCCGCCATCTTGGATGGTCCGCCATAATGGATTTAGAATGACGTCACAGCATTTTTCGAGTTACTCTCAACGAGCCTTTTCATTTGATACCCATATATTGTAGAAGTATATTGAAAATAGCTATTCCGCCATCTTGGATGGTCCGCCATATTGGATTTAAAATAACGTCACATTATTTCTCGAATTACTCTCAACGAGCCTTTTCATTTGATACCCATATTGTAGAAGTATATTAATAATAGCTATTCCGCCATCTTGGATGGTCCGCCATATTGGATTTGGAATAACGTCACGCTATTTCTCGAATTACTCTCAACGAGCCCTTTCGCATTTGATACCCATATTATAGAAGTAGATTAAAAATGACCATTCCGCCATATTCGATTTAGAATGACGTCATATCATTTTTCGAGTTACTCTCAACGAGCTTTTTCATTTGATACCCATATTGTAAAAGTATATCAAAATTAGCTATTCCGCCATCTTGGATAGTCCGCCATATTGGATTTAGAATAACGTGACACACCATATCGTGCATTGTCATCCAAACTGAACGTGTATAAAAAATTTCAGCTCAATTGGTTGAAAATTTCTACTTCAAAATTAAGTTCAAAGATTCCACCCGAACATACATATACATACAAACATACAATGCAAGTTGAATAAAAGTTTTTAAAAAGAGCAAGTACCTGTAAATGCATCCAACACTAGGGGGAAAATAATAAGGCAAAATTTCGAACTTTTTCTTGAAATATCTCGATAAATAGTGGTTTGTTCACATTTTCATTATCAAATTCGTGTTTTTTAGACAAAAATACGTAAGTACCAAAAAAAACCCATCATATGATAAGTGCTAAATTACCGAAAAATAAGTCACTTCAATCAAATTAAACTATATATAATTGGCTCAAGAAATGCCAATATTGCCAAGAATAGTTATTTGTTTAACTAGGCAGCAAAGTAGTAGATTGACTGCCGTGGCTGAATTCATAGCCGAGCGTAGCGAGGCTAGGAATCCAGCTAAGGCAGTCAATCTACTTTGCTGCCGAGTTGAACATATAGTTTTTTCTCCGATTGTTCATAATGATATGGGAGAATATTGGATTTGCGAATTAATACAATTCCCACAATCTCTTTATTCTTCCTGTATAGTGTTCAATTAAAATAAAATTTGATAGAAATCGCATTTGTTGGTTTGATAATTCATGAAATTTCTGACTGTTGTGCGAAAAAATATCGGTATATTTAAATTATTATATAATGGACAGTGATAGCGACCTGGAAGTATACTTACACGTCCATCAATAAGGGAGGTGGCAAAAAATATAGAGTTGAATTTGTTACCGGAGAAGTCTCGGATGAAATATGAAGGAAATTATAAACGATTCATGGATTTTTAATTTTGCTGATACATATCAATCAGCAAAGTAACCACTTTGCTGCCTAGGCAGCAAAGTACCCACTTTGCTGCCTAGGCAGGAAAAGTAATACTTTGCTGATTGATATGTGTCAGCAAAATTAATATTTGCTGCCAATCGGAGGAAAAAATAGTATACCCGTTTTAAACAGGAACAGAAATTGAAGCAATAAAGAACACCAATGGCGTTTGAGGGTTGACGGAATGTCAAATGTCAAAATATCATCAATTTTGAAATGAACCAATCCAAAATTGTGTCTTTGAAACTAGCCAATAACTTTTCACCTTTGCAATGTCCAATCAAAATTTGTTTATAAAAATAATTATTACAAGATCATCTGAATGAAAAGGACAAGGTAAAAACTGCAGAACAGGTTCATACAAAAAAATCTATGAAAAGAGAAATTACATTTTTCACCACTAAAATACTTTCATCCACCAAAAAAAGTAATTTTCAGATAGGTACCCAGATAACACAGGATATCCTATGGATATCCCTCTCAAGTCCATTTCAGGTCGGGATATCCTGGGACATGAAATGGATATCCATAGGATATCCGTCAGAGGATATCAAATGGATATTCTGATGCGGATCACCTATGGACGTCCATAAGATGTTCGTTTAGCGAACAAAAATTGTTAATTGAGAATGGTTCAAAACAATACGAATCATCACAAATATCACATGCAAATCACATGTTTATTAGAAATTGAAAGGTAGTTTTCCATCATATAACTATTGTTATATAGGTATAATATGTTTATAGCCACAATTAAGATATCCGATGCAAATATGAATTCATATAAATAACAACACCACAGTTTGGAATTTTTCTCTGTTGTTCAATGTTCTCGTACAAAAATATACAATCACTCGAAAATAGCTCTCATATATTTACTTTTTTGTGGTCTTCAGATGGACATCCATGAGATATTCATCCATGGATTTATAGCGGATATCCATCAGAAGATATCTTATGGATAGCCATAAGATATCCAAAGAAAACATAAAATCATATTTATGTCAAAATAACTTTTGTTCTTCAACATTTTCGCACAAAAATATGATTTTTCAGAAATAACTTGTATCTACATTTTTTTCCTTGGGATTGAGATGGAGATCCATAAGAAGATATATTCGCATCCCTGAATTCAAAACTGGGTAGGTATTTTCCCAATGGATAGTAATAAAATATTCTGAAGCAATAAAATATAAATCAATATGGCATTCGCGTGAATGACAAATTTTCCAAAAGAAAGATGGAAAAATCTAAGAGAATCTAATTCTTGAATTCACTGCGCTAGGGATAACGCGATTCAAATCCGGCCACCTCGCCTCCTCTATTTATCTCTCAAAAGATTGAATTCAATTCGAATTAACCTCCATGGCTAGAATCGTTCTGATTGGTCTAAAAATGCATCCATGTCGAAAGTCATGGTAAATTGAATTCTTTCATGAGGTATGAGCACACCCCAAGAATCTGAAGCAAATAGTATTCTTTTATTTCCTTAAAGTATTTATTTTTCTTAGTAACCCGTTTTAATTTGTAGTTATTTGCAAATTCAATAAGAATATTTATTATTTTATACTTTTTTGCATGTTTACTTCTTTTTTATATATCCATATTTTAATTTAGTTAGTTTTATATTCACATCATAACAGTTTTCCTTTATTTCCTTTGTTTAATTCTCTTATAGTGACCTGTTTTATTTTTTGTTATTTGCAAATTCAATTAGAATATTTTTTATTTTATACTTTGTTGAATGTATACTTGTTTTTTTATATATAAAAATTTTTATTTAGTTTGATTCATATTCACATTATAACATTTGTTATTCGGTTTGCAACAATTGAATAAATTTTATTTTTTTACATACTCCTACCTGGTGATTTTTTAAGGTGGTTCACTCCTATAACTTTTTCATTATTGTAGGTAGTAAAACGTCAATTGGGGTCATGAATTATAGTTCATTTTATATTATTCGACATATCTATCTACTTGCTTTACCGCACTTTAATTTGGTTTAACCGAGGATGGCATTTTCAAACGGGATACCCTGTATTTTATTCCATAATCGGTTAAGGATTATCATAACGAATTCAACGATACTGTGTTTGATAGGATTTCTACAAACGATTAGGAAGATATTCACATTTCCATATCCTCAATGAGCATATGAAAACTTCGAATGCAAATATCTTGGTAATCGTTTGAAATAACCCTATCCAATCCGGTACCGTTGAATTCGTTATAATAGTTCCTAATTCATTATGGAATAATATACATGGTGTTCTATATTGTTAAGGATATTTAGTAAATATCCCTGAAAAATATCTCATGGATATTTGTGAACAATATCTTATGGATATCCCTGAAAAATGTCTTATGGATATTTGTGAACAATATCTTATGGATATCCCTGAAAAATGTCTTATGGATGTCCCTGAAGGATATCCTATAGAAGTCCAACTCCTTCCACCCGGCACGTCCATTGGACGTCCATAAGATATACATCGGATATCACTGGATATTCTCTGGATATCCCAAATATCCTAAATGGACGTCCAATGGATGTCCATCGAATGTCCGTGTGTTGACTGGGTAGGTATATTCCATTGAATTCCAGTTTCATTTATTTCTAACTTCAGACATAAACTTGAATCCAGTCTTTAATCTTTGAATATCTCAATTAATTTTTTTCTCACAATGAAAAAACTGAAAAATTAAAAACATTAAATAATGGTGCTTAGCAAAATACTACAGTTTGGGAAAAATTAACCCCACTTCATTGGGAGATACAAGTAAACATCAATATAGTAAATATTATATTAAAAATATATACTCAATTACATTGAATGTAAATGAAATGCATATCAACATTGGAATGAAGATTAAATTTGAATTGTGCATGCTATATTAAAATGCTTTATCACTTCAAAAATTGCAAATAAAACATGTAAAGGTTATAGGATCTGGTAATTTACAAGTATTCAACAAACACAAAACATATTTAACAGGATTGCACACAAACAATAAAGTCAGCTTATCAACATTTATGCCATGCGAATGGATTGGATTATTTGGAAAACTGCTGATCCACAGACTACAAATATGAAGAGTGCTAGTAGCCATGGTCCTACGGCTGAACCTTCTTGGCTCTGCTTCTGCAAAAAAAATCAAATATGAGTGCATATCTTTCAATCAACCATGGAAAAACATATTCCCAATCAAAAATTGCACCAAGCATTGGGAGTTCTCGCAAAAAAATATTACTTTCTGAAAGCACTTATAGGTTTTATTTATATACATTGATATGAATGAGCCATATGTTTCTTAATTCCAATTAAATTGCCATCATTAGAAAAAAAAACACTATATACTAAAATCTATATACAGAGTAAACTCGTTGATAATCCTAGAATATCTTAGTGCAAAATCAGTTTTAGCTCAATAAAAGAGATTATTCCAGTAAACCAAGTATTCAAAACAATATGTTACAATGACAATATAGGAACTCACCGTAGATTTTGGTACATTTCCTCTCAAAGTAACGTTTTTCATAGCCTTTTCATTGGCGATACGCATCCTCTGTTTTGGGGCCATTTTTTTGTCAGAAGTATTTGGATCGAACAGAAAATAGAAAAAATTCAGCTAACACGACACGTCTCCGATATTCCTAGCTATGGAACACGAAGGAAAAACTGGAAGTCAGTGTTGCCGGTGTTGGAGAAACAAATAGCGCAATGCTGCCAACATAAAAGCGCAATATCTAATAAAAGAGCGCAATATTAAGAAAATTTTGCTCATGAAGCCTAATGGATAATTTTGTCACACAAGTCAGAGATTTGTGAAATTTATTCTAAAAATGATCGTGGCGTAATATATCAATCAACAGCGTTAGCTACGCAAGACATTTACTTGTTAGTCTTTATTGCCGCTTATTCACAGTTTTCAAATTTTGATTACATGCAACTGATTGCTGCAATTAATTTTTCCGGCAATTATAATAATGATAATCAGGTTATTCGATCTACACTGAATCGAAATGACTATCTAGCTTGCAATGTAATTTTTGTCAAAAAATCTGTGTCATAATTCTTATCAGGACTTGTGTTTGGTAGAAAACAATGAGAACAGTAATAATATATTCAGTATGCATCAAATGCATGCATAAATGTTGCAGGAAATACCGAAAATACAACATTTAATCCCTATATTTCCAATAAAAATAGGTCCGGACGTAATCGCATTTCCTGCAATGCAACGAAAAATTGCGACAGTTGTTCAAAATGGCACAAGTGCGTAGGCACGCAATGAAAATTGCTGCTGGTTTTTTTCGAAGAAATTGCTCTTACAAGTAATAAAAAGCGCAATTTTTCCCGAAAAATCGCAATGGCGCAAAATCAATTAGAAAAGCGCAATTATTGCGCTTTTTGCGCCTTATTGGCAACACTGCTGGAAGTGGCAATCACAAACATACATCTCATAAATTAGAAAATTGGCGACGTGACATTACTGACATTTGGAATGCGCCTGCGCCAAAATGATGACAACAAAATGACAACACCGTGACGTGTCATTCCTTATCCTACAAACGTCTCTTGCCAGTCATTCAATTAGTAGCTTGCTGCCGTGCTGCGGTAAATCTCAAGGTTATCAGAAGGTTAGAGGAAGGAAAATATCGTTTCTGCATGAAAAAGGAGACTACTTTTGACCTCTTAACCTGAATTGACCTTCTTCCTGAAAAGTATAGCCTTGCGAAAATTACTTGAGTGAAGACAAAAATAATAAATAATAGTTGACTCCTCGCAGGGAGTTGAACACGACCCACCGCCTTGTGGAATTCTAGGATCTAGGCCGAGTAAGGTTGAAAGTAGGCTCCTTTTTTATGCAGAAAATATATTTTCCTTCCTCATAATACATAATACATAATAATCTTCTGATAACCTTGAGATTTACCGCAGCACAGCAACAAGCTACCATTTCGAACGACATTATTATCTTATACAATTTGGTTATTTGAATCTAGATTGATGAATGATAAAACCAAACAAGTGGACGAGCGTCTCGGACCAGGAAAGAGCCATAGTTATCGGCTTCATTCTGGTTTGACCTGATGGCAGTAAAAATGAGGAAGGATAATATCACTGAATGAATGTGGCCGATATTGATTCATTGATTCAAAGATATTTCTGTTAGGATCGAGCAGTCCCATTTGATTTGAGAAGTTTAAATGTAAAAATATTGCAACTACTACATTCATAACCTGTCAGGATGAAGCGAATTTTCCTCTACATTTCTACTACGAGAAAAAAGACGTCACAGTGCCTTCCCGTCCAGTTAGAGCCAATGAACTTATTGAGTGGCTCCCAAGGCGAAATGGTACAGTGAGCGACAACTTTTTCTCAATTTTGTTCTCTTAAGTAATTATCCGAATATATTTTCTACGAATGAAATTCATCTAGGCCGAGTTAGGTTAGATTATTTAGAAGAAGACGTCTCGACGTGAATCGATGTGATGCGACGTGAATTTGAGACGATGCAGAGAAGCGATTTGGTACGGCTATGCTGTCCTACGTGCTCCGCATTATATTCGCAATAGCGAATTTGCATTCTCGTAATGTCAAGATGTATGAGTTCTTCACTCGAGAACTCGTATATCAAATACAAATCAAGATCATCAGATGATGTTGACATTGACTGAAACTAAGGGCAAACATGTCTAACTTCCAATCTACGACTAGGTTTTGAATGTCATAGCAACGCCATTTCATGACCTTGACGACCGCGAATCGCGTGAAAATATCAATTCAATTGATCGTATCGTCTCGTCTGCTGTCATGTGCATTCGTTTGACACTTCAATATTTTCCGTAGTTTCACATTGTCGCATCGCATCGCGTCTTCCTTCTCAAGAATAGAAAGGAAGGTTTACTTGAGATAACGTACATCCGTAAGCCCACTGAAACAACGCAAACGTAAAGAATTGAAAAATGCGCATGCTTTGCTGTCAATCTCTACGTTAATGTTAATGGCAACACCAAATCTATCTCTCTTTTTTACGTTATTGTGTTGGGAGCCAGAATATTGGATGTAGTGTGAGGGAATTGTCTGCAGACATTCGTGTGCATTTGAAGTATTGCCAGTATCGTATGAAAGCCAGAATATTGGATGTAGTGTGAGGGAACTGTCTGCAGACATTCGTTTGCATTTGAAGTATTGCCAGTATCGTATGAAAGCCAGAATATTGGATGTAGTGTGAGGGAACTGTGTGCAGACATTCGTTTGCATTTTAAGTATTGCCAAAGCTGCAAAACAAAAAGGTATTTTGATTTTTGACAAATGACAAATTCAAAGAAAAAGTCATGGCGTTTGGAAAATTGCTCTTTTGTATAATAATTTTCGCAATTTCTACTGGTTTCGTCAGGGTGAAGGCTCAAAAAACAGTAATAGTACTAACTGAAGATAATTGGAGTGAAATACTCAGCGGAGAATGGCTGGTGGAGTTGTAAGTTCACAAGTTTATTTGTTCGGCACTATTTGCTGTCGTGTCAAAGTATTAAAATATCATTCATTGTAATTTTGAATTGCCCAGAGCCCCGGAATAGTGGATAATCATGTTCATTCCAGCTATGCCCCTTGGTGTCCCGCTTGCAAAGCTCTGGAACACAAATGGAACGAATTTGCGCAGTTGGGACCAGGATTAGGCATCAAAGTGGGTGCAGTTGATGTCACCACATCTCCTGGTCTCAGCGGCAGATTTATGGTCACAGCTCTGCCGACGATATTCCAGTAAGTGAAATAAACTATACTCAAACTTTTCAATCATCTGACATGTGGTTGCAGTGTCATTAATGGAGAATTCAGACAATACAAATCATCCAGAGATAAAGACTCTTTCACATCATTTATTGAGGACAAGAAATGGCAGCAAGTGGAACCTATTCCTAAATGGAAGTCCCCGGATTCTATCCAGATGGGAGTTGTTTCCTCATTTTTTAAACTGTCTCAAATGTTGAGGGTAAGAGTAATCTTAGATTGAGGAAGAATGAGTTTGAGTTTTAATGGTTGATTTCATTTTAGCATGTTCATAATAAATTGACTGAAGAATATGGGTTACCTAGCTTTTGTTCTTACCTGATATTTGCTCTTGCCACAGTTACCCTTGGAGCTATTCTTGGATTGGTAGGTTTTTATTTTCTCATTTGTTAGATTTCATAACATTTTTTTCTTCAATTTTTTTTTCAGGTCTTAGTGTGTGCCATTGATTTGTTTTATCCACCCAAATGTACTCAAACTATGAATAATTTGAATGTTCATGGAAAAGATAAGGACAGTGACAATGAACTGGTAAGAAATATATACAGAATGTTTCTGAATAAATTCAAGATCTTTTGTGTATTTTTATCCTAATTCTTATTTAAAGTTCATTCATACATTTCACCCACAGTGATATACAAGATAATTCAGGATATATTGATTTTTTTGCATTAGTTTGAGAAACAAAGGAAATATAGATTCATCAGTGTCTTCATGAAAATTACAGTGTGGGTGCTAAATAGGGGTTATTGAAGTTTTTCTCCTAATTGTGGATGGAAGCCCCCTAGCACAAATACAAAATTATGTGATTTTTGTCTTTTTCTTCATCAAATTGATTGATTGATTGGAGACAGCCTATGCAGGGTGTCCCGAAATTATATAGAAATATTTCAAATACAGATTTTAGGAACAAAAATGTTTAAAAAAGTTCATATAAACATGGGTCCAATAATGTACCCTTGGGGGGTGTATACTTGTATAGCCATCTAAAGGAGAGAAGAGATGATGGTTTCTCATTTATATTTTCATGCCCAATCTGAAAATGTTGAGAATTGTTCTTTTGATCAAGGTCGTGGGAAGGAGTTGGGGCTAGGGGTACATTATTTTTTGTTGATACAATTGTTGGTAGTTTGGACAGGAAATAAGAAAATATCATTTTTACTGATACTCTTGTTTAGTTTCAATAACACATTTTAAAAGTCTGCTGCATAATAAAAATATTACTTTTTCTCAATAGGGTAGGTACCTACTATATTATTTTTCAATTTATGATTATTATCATTTATTGAGTAGACATATTCTTTTTATTGCACCCCCTATATTTTGAATGAAACATCAAAAGTAGATGTCATAGAAGAGGTATTTTCCATAAAACCATATTTTTTTTGAAAAAAAAAAATGTACTCTATTGAGGAAAAAGCACTATTTTTATTAGGCAGTGGAATTTTAAAATCAATATGTCTGGAAAATAATGATGATGTTAGTATTTTATTTAAAAAATATATCAATCACACTTCCTTATGGTTATAGTTATTGACATTGAATGTTTGAATAAAAAAAATAGATTGCATGTATAACTTTTAAGTGGTTGCCATGTTATCAATGATATTCAAGCAACTAAATCAACATACTAATCCTCCTTTCAGTATGTAAATGGCTGTTCATTGAATGTTTTATACAGAATGGTTTCATTTCATTAATACATAAACAGGACTAAAAGTAGCATTTAGAATAAACAACAAATTGGAAAGTTTTATCAAAAATAATAAAGAAAAAACTTCCAAAATTCGAAAAATCAGGGGTATACAAACTCAACTGTGAATCTTGTCCTAAGGTTAATATTGGTCAGACAGGTCATATGTATTTTTTGAAAAAGAAGACAAATTCAACATACGCCAACCATATATTAGAAGTAAACCATAGTTTTGATGATAATTTCGAAATTCTACACGTAGAAAGTAAAGGAATGAAACTCAATCATTTTCAATCATTAGAAATCAACAAACTCAGACATTTTGACATTTAATTGTTTTAATGTAGATATTGTGCCTAATTTCCGAAAATGAAGGTTTATCGATCCTGTCTACAGGTAACTAATCCTTCAAGTTGGTAAAGTAGGATATACAGGGTGGGTCACGGTGGATGGCCTATTAGAAGTTTCTGGACAACGAATAGACAGAACATTCTGAAAATTGGGATGCTTTGATAATTGAACATTCTCTATCCGTCTAAAATATTTTCATCGATACGGTGTTGCCACTTCTATCAGAAACAACTAGCAACTTCGTTATTTTAAATGGAGCACCCTGTATTTTATTGCATTTATAGATTCTTCCTGAGGAGCTGATTTCATAAATGTATCATACTTGGGGCCTAGCAGAAATTATTACAGAGATATAGGGTATTCAAAATCGAGATTTTTCAATTTTAGGATTTTTTTCTGTCGAAACTATTTATTATTGGTCAAAACGGTTTGCATGTCCCTATCCTAACTTTTGATTCACTATCTACTGAAACTTAATTGGAAAAAATACAGGGTGCTTCAAGATTCAGAATTCTGATCACCCTGTATCTGTTCCAATTAAATGTCAGTAGATAGTGAATCGAAAGTTAAGATAGGGACATGTGAGCCGTTTTGACCAATAATAAATAGTTTCGACAGAAAAAAATCCCAAAATTGAAAAATCCCGATTTTGAACACCCTATATCTCTGTGATCATTCCTGCTAGACCCCAAGTGTGATACATTGATAGAATCAGCTCTTTAGGAAGAAACTAAAAATGCAATAAAATACAGGGTGTTCCATTCGAAATAACAAAGTTGCTAGTCGTTTCTGATAGAAGTGGCAACACTGTAACGATGAAAATATTTTAGACAGATAGAGAGTGTTCAATTATCATAGCATCCCAATTTTCAGAATGTTCTGTCTTCTCGTTCTCCAGATACTTCTAATAGGCCATCCACCGTGACCCACCCTGTATAAAAGGCACTGTCTACAGGACCGCCGTGGCGGTTGGATTCTGAAACATAGACAACCGCCGCGGCGGTTATTCGGGACTTTTTTTAAACTTTTTCTTACAAATAATTTTTCGAAAAATATACTTCTCTCAGGAGAAAGGTTCATTTAGGCAAGTTAGGTTAGATTATTTGAAAAAAGTAGTCTCCTTTTTCCAACTTTTTTTTTCCTGTCGGTCTTCTATGTAGGCTGAGTCATGAGGAACTGTACAGGGTGGCCAACTAAGACTCCAGAGTTCGATTTCTCTGTTGTCTTGAGAGATTAAAAAAAAAAGTCATGTATCAAAATTGATGTAATAATCGAACTTCACATTTTAAAATTTCTTTGAAAAACACAGGGTGTTCCGTAAGGTCACAGCACATCGAAGCTATGTTTTTTCATTGGAACACCCTATATTTTATTTCATTTTTGAATTCTCCCTGAAGATCTGATTTCAACGACCCATCATACTTAGGGTCTAGCAGTGAAAGTTACTGACATATAGGGTGTGCAAAATCGAGATTTTCCAAGTTCAGAATTTTTTTCTGTCGAAACTGTTCATTATTCGTCAAAACGGTTTACATGTCCCTATCTCAACTTTTCACTCACTATCAATTGGTGTTCAATTGAAATTGATACAAAGTGTTCAGAAAATCTTAATTTATAATTTGTTTCAATTAAATGTCAATTGAGCACCAATTGATAGTGAGTGAAAAGTTGAGATAGGGACATGTAAACCGTTTTGACGAGTAATGAACAGTTTCGACAGAAAAAAATCCTGAACTTGGAAAATCTCGATTTTGCACAGCCTATATGTCAGTAACTTTCACTGCTAGACCCTAAGTATGATACGTCGTTGAAATCAGATCTTCAAGGAGAACTCAAAAATGAAATAAAATATAGGTAGGGTGTTCCAAAAAAACATAGCTTTGATGTGCTGTGACCTTACGGAACACCCTGTGTTTTTCAAAGAAATTTTGAAATGTGAAGCTCGGTTATCACTTTAATTTGAATACGAAACTTTTTTTTGTATCTATCAAGACAACAGAGGTATCGAACTCTGGATTCTTAGTTGGCCACCCTGTACATGCTGCTACTACGAATAGAGGCACCTGAGGGGAATACCAAATGACCATCAGAAAGTGTCTCCGCCTCTTTTAAAATAATCTATAGGGTGATTTATTCGATATGGCCAAAACTTCTTACAATCATAACTTTTCAACAGTTCTTCCGATTCCTTTCATTTTTTCATGGATTATTATGCTGTCACTCAGCAATCGACTGACGTGTTCAGAATCGTAAAAATCCAGGACCGGTCTTGAGAAATTCTGCCAATTTGGTTCATAACAAAAATTTCACCCTGTATAAGTTGTTAGTAAACTGTGATATGGAATTTTTAAAGTTGATGAATAGGCAACCAAAATAAAGTATTCGAAATTTTCCTCACACTTTCATTGAATTTCTTAGAAAATGATTAATTTATACTACACGCGAATATTGGGCAACAAATGTATTATTTTGAAAATTAATACTTCGCAATGCATGAATTTAACGAATAAAAGTAAGGATAAAATTATTCCCAATTCTTCAGCTCAACAATAATCAAAACATTCTTCTATTTCCAGGGTTGGATTCAGTAATTTATTGGTAAAAGGTAATAATCACCAAAAATTTCACCCTGTATATGATTTTAGTAAACTGTGACATGAAATTTCTGAAGTGGACAAACAAGCAATCATGATAAAGCATGCCAAATTGTCCATACTGTTTTAATTAATTTTTTCAAATAATAAGACGAATTATTACCAAACACGAAAAAATGAATTAATTTAAAAAAAAATACTTCTTCGCAACGCTTTAATTTCACGTATAAAAGCAAGATTTACATTAATTCCAATTCCTAATCTCAATGAAAATCAACATTACTATAATTTCCAGGGTTGTTTCTTTTTTTTGTGGAAAGTAATAATCATCCTGTATGATGTTATAGTAGGTAATGTGATGGACGAATGTTATAGCTTGAATCATTTAAATATTCTGAGATTTTCAATCGATTTGTGATACAGATTCTGAGTATTTCTGAATATTTTTTTTTTCTTCTTGAGGATGAGTTTAAAAGCAGCTTTGATAGCTGAACCTCTCCTTTTCATCATCTTAATGTATTATATTTCTAATTTAAATTCTTGATTTGAATTTTCATAATATTGGGAATTTCTAAAAAACACTGCAAAACATTTTTGCGTCAATGATTTTCAAGATTTGCACATACCATTATGATGAAATCATACAGTGTGACAAATGCTATTACCGTCTACCAAAAAATTACTGAATCCAACCCTGGATATGGAAGAATGTTGATTTTCAGTGAGCTGAAGAATAGAAATTGATGTTATTCTTGCTTCTATTCGTGAAATTCTAGCGTTGCGAAGTATTAATTTTCAAATTAATACATTTGTTGCCAAAGTTTCGCGTGTATAGTATAAATTAATCATTTTCTAAGAAATTCAATGAAAGTGTGAGGAAAATTTCCAATACTTCATTTTGATTGAATGTTCATCAACTTTGCACAGTTTACTAAAACCTCATACAGGGTGAAATTTTTTTATATGAACCAAATTGGCAAAATTTCTCAAGACCGGTCCTGAATTTTCACGATTCTGAATACGTCAGTCGATTGCTGAGTGACAACATAATAATCCATGAAAAAATGAAAGGAATCGGAAGAACTGTTGAGAAGTTATGATTGAAAGAAGTTTTGACAGTATCCCATAAATCACCCTATAGATTATTTTAGAAGAGACGGAGACACTTTCTGATGATGTTTGGTATTCCCCTCAGGTGCCTCTATTCGTAGTAGGAGCATGTACAGTTCCTCATGACCAACCCTGTATAGAAGACCGGTGAAACATGAGGAAGGAAAATATCGTTTCAGCATGAAAAAAGTTGAAAAAAGGAGGCTACTTTTTTCAAATAATCTAACCTAACTCGCCTAAATGAACCTTTCTCCTGACAACTATATTTTTCGAAAAATTATTTGTAAGAAAAAGTTTTAAAGAAGTTAGGCCTAGTAGGGGTTGAACCCGAGTCACCGCCGTGGTGGTCAGGTACACTGTCAACTGATCTATCGCTTTGCTCGGAAGTACTCTCTATGAAGAAGAAATATTGTCGCTGCGGTCGTTTATCTATCAGTATCCAACCGCCGCGGTGGTCGTGTAGACAGTATCTAAACTGCTCCACATTTGAAGTGAGACAAGCAAAAACTTCGATCATTTTCGAACCGTCATAACTTTGGAGTGGATCAACCAATTTTCAATTCCTTTCAAGATTCTGATAGCTCATTCCATTGGGTACAATGTCAGTACTTTTTTGTTATTCCACCTTTTCGACATGAAGACCTACTGGGTGATATCTGAAAATGTGATAATTTTCGAAAAGTTTGGGATAACCCCGTTTCACCGGGATTTTTTTTCATGGTTTATTTAGGGCGATAGAATGAGGAACAATGAGTTTTCTCGAAATGGTTTTGAATTCAAGAGGATTCATACGGGATGTTTGGATGTATAGAATTTTTCACACCATATTGCATTCTGATATTTTCCACCATAAACTCAACTTCAACAGAATTTTACATTGGCATATCTTCAACGCCAAAACGCCATTACTACACAATGTGTTGTACATTTTCGAATATAGGGGATGTAGAAATAAATTGAAATATTACGAAAAAAATGCCGTTAATAATTGTCATTAACATGATCATGATGAATCTCTCTCAAACCCAGTATTGTTGAATTCGTTATGATACTCTCTAACCACATATGGCATGAAATACAGGATGTCACATTTGAAAATTGAAAGATTGGGTCGTTTCTGAAACCGGGAAGTGATGGGAGAGCAGTTTCGACTCGTGACTTTCATGACACAGGAGGCACACAAATCAATATCTTTAATGACATTCTGTTTACCAGTTGACCTGAACTTAATACTTGAAGAAATGTGTTCCTGTGATTTGCAGTGTCTATCCAATCCGCGAGGCAAATTTTTCAAATCATTATATCCTAATCACCCCCAACATGATGACTTATCGATTGAAAATTATAGGCAGTACCAACAAAATAGCTTATTCCTTACCTCAGATCCTGTCAACCAGATATATTTCTTATAATTATCAGAATTGAACGAACGATTTTGTTTGTTACCTGTTACAATCAGATTTTTAATTCCGGTGTCGGACGTTTTTTTTTCGCAATCAATTTATCTTCATAAGACAAAGCACTGAATGGGTTCACCAAAAAGTATTCCACTAAATCGCGATCGTTCAAAACACTCATTTTTCAGAAATTTTATAGAGCCCCTAACCATTAACCTAACATAAAAATAAACAATGCACTCTCGCTGGATTCTGGATTGTCCGCAATTCGCGACGCGACACGACAAACACGTGCTATTTGGGCGTATTCGGGCATTTGTATTGCGCGCGTGAGTTGCGCATTGTGAAGGAGTCTAGCGTCCTATAGATGTTGCCAAGTTGAATATTTTACGCGTGATTTGCAGACTTCAACGTGTGATGCGTGGGCAAGCACTGTTGCCAATTCAAAAATATTTACCTAAAAACAGGAAATAAAAATCAAAATCCATTTATTTTGGTGTCCTTTTAATGAGAAAGTATAGATAATATCAGTTTGAGGAAAATCTCTGAGGAGGCTCAGCCTCCGTTGCCTCTTCTGAGGAGTCGCCACTGTGGGAGAGTATGGAATTTTGAAAAATTGACCAATTCTCGAATTCTACACTCCTGCCAAATTCGAATCTCATACCTCTGGAAATCTGGAAACCATGGTTTGTCTGATGAATTCGATGATACCAGGTATGTTCCAAAGTGTACAAAACATTGTATAGTGATAGCGTTGAGCAGAATAAGCTAATCTAGAGCTCTGTTGAAGTTGAGCTTATGTTGGTTGAACATCAAAATGCAATATATTGTGAAAAATTCCATAATCACAACTTCATGTATGAATCTTCCTGAATCGTGAAGCATTTCGAGAAAACTCATTATGCTTCATATTATCGCCCTCATTGAAACATAATAAAAATCCCTGCCAAACAGGGCGATCTCAAACTTGCCAAAAATTCCATTCATCGAAACATCCTGTATGAATCCTCTTGAATTCAAAACCATTTCGGGAAAACTCATTGTCCTTCATTTTATCGCCCTCAATAAAACATTCAAACAAATCCCGGTGAAACGAGGTGATCCCAAACTTTTCGAAAATTATCACATTCTTAGATATCGCCCTGTAGGTCTTTATGTCGAAAAAGTGGAATAACAAAAAAGTACTGACGTTTTTCTCAATGGAATGAGATATCAGAATCTTGAAAGAAATTGAAAATTGGTTGATCCAATCCAAAGTTATGACGGTTTGAAAATGAAATGATATTTTTACTTGTCTCATATCAAATGTGGGGCAGTTTATATAAGAGTTAAGCAAACCAAGGTTGGTTTAGTTAATTGTACAAGTATATCACCTGACGATGCTACTGTGTTAGCGAAACATGTTGTGTGTTTAAGAATTTTGTGGAAATCTTATCGTTTGTGAAGTTTTTATTTTTGTCATGGATTTATATCAAGTTACGGCCGAATCAATTCAAAACTTATAAGTATTGTTTCCCCTTCTCAGGACGACGAAGACATCAAAGACGACCTGGTGGACGACGCGACTACGCCCGAACGCCACAATTCGGGCGACGAAGCTCACCATTCGCCCGCTCCTACCGACGGCGCCAAAACGAAGAGGCGCAAAAACGCTCGGCTCGATATCTGAACGGATGAGTCGACCGTATAAAATAGGGTTATTTATTTTGCGAGACTGTGGCTCGGTGACGTTCGGCAACACGAGACGTCACTGCTCAACACTTGAAGCAAACGTAAAATCGAAATTTTTCGATCAGTATTGATTCATCATAACTATGGACTGTCTCAACTGATTTCCAATTTATTTTATCTCTCCGAATCTTCGTTTCATCGATTATTTCAGTAATCAAAGAATCTGACCAAAAACAAGACAGAGACAACGTGAGCTTATCGCGAAAACATTAGCTGTCTTTCCAATTCTGATTGGTCTATCAGCGTTGATGTTTTTCAACGATGTAACCTTGGATAGCGAAGCAAAGTCTTGTCAGTTTGGCATATAATAATTATGCCTGTACTTGTCAGACTGAATCACCCATTAATAATAAATGCTTACTTCGTGAACATGAAATATTCTATCAAAATACCACTATATTTTCTGAATATCTTCTCATAATGTTGTCTTTGATTGTCAACTCAATTGTGTTGCTGAGGAACATCACGAGTTTGTCAGGACAGGACATAATTATCTCAAATATTCAGAACATCCTGAAATTACTTGAGACTGTCGAGCCTATGGAGATGAATATTTTCCTCATATACAAGGTGTCCCTAAAAGGTCTTAACAAAAACCTACTACATATTTCTCAGACCAAAACAATTTAATACAAGCAGACTTACCTCAGTACAAAGTTCCTTAGTTTGGGCGCTAGACAGTTACAATTTTCGAATTGTTTTTGCTTCATAACTTTGAATCTTATTCTGAAGATATTTTTTAAATAATAATAATAATAATAATATTCATTTCATTCTCTGCTATAAACATCTCATATAAATATAAATATATTTTAATAAGATTCACAATGAAATAACATAAATAATCAGACAGATTCATATCTGGTATGAGATTATTCATGCATTATTAAATCCAAGTTATTGAAATAAACAGATTCAATAATAATAATAATAAAACAAAAATCTCATGAAAAGTACATTATAGCATGATAAAATAAATTAGCGAATGAGAAATCATTCACTGAGGTTTGATTTTCTATTTGCGAGAAGATATGTTTCTTGACTTTAATTTTGAATTGGGTGATATTTGTGCAACTTTTCATACCATCATTAGGTAATTTATTGAATTTTGAGATCGCTCCATGAGTAAACTTTTTTAGGCCATGTGTAGAATTAGCAGCATCAAGATGAAACAAGTCATATTGTCTCTTCCAAAGAAAATGTATTTGTTTCTTCATAAAGTTGATTTGATGGGGTGTCATATGGAGGACAGTACAGTACAGTACTTTTAATGCTGTTTTAAATAGAACAGATATTTTGTTAATATTATTCTTGGAACATGAACCCCAAATATTTATGAGATAGTCAATTTTACTAAGGATGTGAGAGTGTAAAACGGTATTTGCTATATTTGGGATAAGTTTTGGACATCTTCTTAGGGCACCCACTATGGGAGACATTTTTTCTTTGAGAATGCCAATATGCTTGCCCCATGTTAACTTTTCATCTATCCAATTACCAAGGTATTTGTTATAGGCAGTTTCTTTCAATCTTTCATTTTTTTTATTCTAATCTTCAAGTCAATATTTTGTTTATTTCTTTTATAGAAAGTTATATATTCTGTCTTATTAAAATTAAGGGAAAGAAGATTGGAGTATAGCCATTCTTCCATTTTCTTCAAATCCTCATTTATGGTGTTTTCTAAAATTACAGGGTTTTTGTTTTCCAATAAAAGTACTGTGTCATCTGCATATAAGGCATAGTTTCCTATTAAATTTATTTTTGAAATGTTTTGAATGTATAAATGATACAGAATTGGGCCCAACACTGATCCTTGGGGAACTTCTTTGTTTATATATAGTATTTTAGATTCACAATTATTGGTTTTAGTACTGATTATTATCATCAAATAATCATTTCATAGATTGGATAGTCAATGAGACGAACAATAAAAAATTGAAAATAAATTGAAACTTGGTTGAGGCATTCGAAGATTATGAATCAAAATTGATCGAGAAATTTCGATTTTACATTGTGAATAGGGTTCTCCTCCGTATTTGCACTTTTTTCCCCATCTTTCGTGTCGATTTTCGTGGAACTTCGTGCATGAAGGGGGATGTTTTTCATTTTTTCGAATGATTTTTATGTATCTATTCAAAGAGGAGTGATGGAGATCCCTATACATATAGGGTGTCCGATTTTCTAGATCCACCATGGGGATCTCAGTTATTATTAGATATACGAGGTCGGTTAAATTAGGGCAAAGTTGTGCATTTTCATGCTGAACGTTTATCTGCAAGGAAATTTGATGTCATTTTTAGTTTTTGAATTTTTGGAAGAAACCGAAAATTTATATTTTTCGTTTTTATTTTTTCAAGCGGAAACCATAAGACCTATATATTTTTGACAGGGACATTCTTGAGGCAATTTTTTACAAGGAATCTGAATCTGTCATCGTATTTTCCATGACGTTCTTGATGCCGAAGTTACAACACAACTTTTGTTTTTTCTTATGGGCGCCATATTTGAAGTCTTTTTTTTTTTCTTATTACGTATCACACGATATGATTGAATCTTTCCTGTTGATCAAAATTGGGAAAAAACATTGATGCGAAGAGTGCTTTGGAAAGAACGCCCAACAGTTTTGTTTAATAACATGACTTTCGACAGTTTATTTGAATTTGGATTATGAATATTTTCAAAGCTTATAAAATCAGGGCTCAAATCTCCATTCCCATATCATGAGATTCTAAGAGATTCAAATCATAACAAAATAAAAATGTTAAATAAATTTACTGAAAAAGGTCCGATTACTATCTAAATACTGTATGGAAATTACTTAAACAATATGATCTACTCTATATTACTTCTATCGTCTTTGTAGAATTGTGGTGTTTTATGGGATCCTTGAATGTTATAAAACTCATCCATACTGTAACAAAAGGAATTAACATGTTAATAACCTTCCTAATCCTTAATATAAAGTAAATATAAATATATCCTATTCCTGATCTGGTGGAATTAGCACCGCAAGGAGTCAGAAAACCAATAACAGAAGAAGAAGAATTTGAATTTGGATCTGGAACGTTCACATTTTCGTCAAGCTCATCTACTCAAAAACTATGATTTTAAATTAGGAATGACGTGATGAGCTAGAAGTTTATTCTTCGCAAAACAAAACAAAGTCTAAACATAATTCTACGCTCAGATTCCTCAGATTCTGAATTGCTCGCGAGACGTTCCGTCTTCTTATCTTAGTCCTGAAAGTGCTGATTATGGTTCTTATCAGCTCATTAATATCTATCGGTACAGTTTTGACATGTTTTGAAAATCAAATCTCTCCTAGTTCCCAATTAATAATAATCCAGCGGAGAGAGATCAACTGACCGCGCTGGCCAACATACAGGGTGCGCCTCTTCAAATGGAACTCCCTCTTAACTCTTTTGTTTTCAAAGATGTGAAAAAATGTTGAATTAAAAAGTTGTTTGATTCGATCCAAATTTTCATTTCGTGGAGTTTCTCCATATACAGGGTCATTCGTTTTTCCGGAAAGGACATTAACTTTGATTTTTTCAATGGAACACCTTATATATTTTCTGACATGTCGACAGAGCCTTCTTTTCTGATTTCAAAAATATATATGAGTTGCATATTTTGATCGAAAATAATTGAGTTATTGATTATCTAAGTTCACCAAAATACCGAATTTTCCATTGAAACTGTCTATTAATATTGTTTTGTGTTGAGATTGAACGATTTCAATTTCATAATAAACAATACCATGACATTTCCATGGAGCTTGAACAATATATAAACGTCATTTCAAAGCCCACTATATTCAACCTACATCAGATGATATGAAGTGAAGGTTCATAATGCGGTATTTTGGTGAATTTTGATCATCAATATCTCAACTATTTTTTATCCAAATATGCAACTCATATATATTTTTGATATTAGAATAAAAGGGTCTATCGACATGTCGTGAATTATATAGGGTATTACATTGAAAAAATCGAAGTTGATGTCCTTCCTGGAAAAACGAATGACCCTGTATATGAAACAACTTCACGAAATAAAAGTTTGGGTCGTTTGACACAGCTTTTTCATTCAACATTTTTCCATATCTCTGAAAACGAAATAAGGGGGGATTCCATTTTATGAGGCGCCCCCTGTATGTCTTCGTTGTTGGAAATTACCTTGTTACCTTTGGAACATGTCTGATAGACACTTGGCAACCCTTCTTGCGTTATGTGGATAAGCTTAAGAATTGAATAGTTCTGTTCGCATATTCAATTGAAATGTCAAAATTCAGTTTGTTAAACAAAACTGATGGCGTTCCTTTCCTTCCAGAACACTATTTGCAAAAATGTTTTTTTGCCACTTTTGATCGACAGGAAAGATTCGATCATATCGTGTGATACATCATTGTAATCAGAAAAAAAGACCTTCTCAAAAATTCAAAGATCCAAAATGGCGCCCATAAAAAAAATTGAGTGTTGTAACTTTGGCATCAAAAACGCCATGGAAAATACGATGACAGATTCAGATTCCTTGTCAAAAAGTGCCTTGAGAATGTCCTAGTCAAAAACGTCTAGGTCTTTTGGTTTTCGCTTGAAAAAATGAAATCGAAAATTACAAATTCTCGTTTTCTTCGAATAATTCAAAAACTTGCAGATAAACTTTGCCCTAATTTAACCGACCTCCTATCTCTTATAATAACTGAAATCCCCATGGTGAAGCTCGAAAAACGGGCACCCTGTATAATTCCAATGGACGGTTTGTCTACTATTTACTGGACACTTCCTACGATCTGAATTTTGAAATAAAATAAATTCGTTAGCTCACAAACAATAAAGATTTGGTGGAAACTCATTATTCCCCTTCAACAAAAATACAAGGCATTTTGCATTTTAATAAAATTTGCTGATAGAAAATGTACAGATTTTTTTCAATGGGAATTTATAGAAAATATTTCGAAACTGAAGTCAGCATAGTTGAACACATGGAGAAAAAAAAAACTTGTTCTTTCGGCTCAAAAATTCAAAAATTTTCAAAATAACAGGGGTTACCACTTTCTCTGATAAACTATCAATGAACTGAATTGATATATTTCGGC